ATAATAATAATAATAATAATAATAATAATCATAATAAGAATCATAATAATAATAATAAAGTGTTTGTGAATGTGAATGTTAAATTATTCTCAATGAGCCTGAAAATAAAGAATTATCTTCTTCAAAAGTGATTTAAAGAAATAAAAATTTAGAAAAATCTATAAAATTATCTTAATAGAACAATTAATAATTACAGAAAAATAAGACAATTTTAGAATTCCCTAAAATACTTAATTTATAATGCCCTAATGTTCAAGAAAAATTCAGTTAACCTTTAGAGGAATCATTTGAAATAGATTTAAATTTAACAGAAGATTGCGATTAGTAGCAGAAACCATAATAGTTAAATGAGTTTAAAAATTTAACAGAGATCCATGTTTAAAATGTTATATTGGCTTCAACTTGTTCTCCTAAAAAATAATGTTCAAAAGTAAGAGTTGTGAAATCTGTTCTTAATCCAAAAGCTATTGAAAATACTACTTTACTGGATTCTAAAGTTAATTAAAAGATTGAAAAACAATTCATTTCTAAGATAATGGAGGAAGAACAAAAAGGAGAGGTTTAATAGAAGGAAAAATTTTTATTCAAGCAATTTTTCTATAAAGAACCTAAAATACAAACTAGTGTGAAGACTAGCTAATAAATTTAACAGGAGATATAGAAATTATAATTGGAGAAAATAAAATTAAACAGGACTAGCAGATGTAGCATTCTGATAATACCTAAGCTAAAAGAGACTGGAGTTTAATATGCTGAAAATAACATTATGAATACTGAATTGATTCTCTATGATATGGATTTGAATGAGGTCAAACTTTAAAAAATAATTGTAGAGACCATTGAATCTCATAATTTTTTATTAGGAAAACTTCTTTTTAAATGTCTTTATGATGATGGAGCTCAATATTATATGGAATATGACATATTGAAAAGATATTGTCCAACATTATTATTAGATTACATGATAGTAAATTCAATATTAATATGATTTATGAATTCTTTCAATAATTCTAATTGTGTTGATTAATATTGCAATCAAACCAAACTAATTGACTTTCATATCGATTAATTTAGTTACAAGTTTTCCTGACATACTATTATAATATAAAAATATAATAATAGTAAGCGATAAATAGATCATTTCACTTAAGTATTTACCTCCCTCAACAAAAAGCTTTTCCTATTCCTTTGTTACATGCTCATAGAGCCTTTTGACTCTATTCGCTTTCTTTTGAATGATGGCATTTCCAGTATATAGTATCACGAAAAGAATGTGCAGTTAACAAATAATTAAGGCATAGATTGGAACTTGGGTTTGATAAGAACTACAAATAAATGAGAGTAAATCGAAAGGTGGTAAATTAAGAAAGATGGCATAGAATTCATAAAACACGCTTATGCAGAAATATATTGCTATGGCTTTGACATAAAACTTCTTTATTAGATTTACAAAATTCTTCCACTTTTATGTTTTGACTTCTGATCTTCTCAACATCATATTGCTTTTCATTATCAATCCCTCACTTTCTAAATCAGTATTGTAGTCATCATTCTATTCAATATGTTATCTGATTCCAACTATAAGAATGATAGAACCTTGGTAAATTTATAGAAGTCCATGGACAGAAATAAAACAATATTATAAATCCTCATATGACTATTCTGTAAATAAAAAAAGAGCCAAGACAATTGATGGTAGTATAAGTTATCTTTTATAATACCTAGAGAATGTTAAAAATACTACCACAAAGAAGAGTCTTTGCTTTTTTAGGTTGAAAGCCCAAATCTCTTTCTAATTTATTCTTATTCTTCTAAGTAATTAAATCTATTCAATCTAAGATGAAGTGTCTCTATTACCAATTATTGCCAAACTGCTTGAGCTAGTAAAATAGAAATTAAGAAATCTTGATTCAATCTCAAGCAAGCTGACACAACTAATAATAATAATAATATAGTGTGCACAGCTATGGCAACTTTGGTGACTATACCAATTTATTAGTTTCTCATCTATCGTTGCATAATAAATAATGAGGTGCCAATTAAGAACAATTTCATTATTTATAAAATGATAGTTGTTTTAATACAATTGTGTAATATATGAGAGCTAAAATATAAAATAGAATCAAATAAAAAATATTTCTTTTTCTTTAAAAACAATATTTCCTAACTAAAAACTAATTGAATTCCCAATAAATAATCTACTATTTTGTTAATTTAAAAGTAGTATAATCTTAATCATTGAAAAATATAGCTGAAATTGAACTATGTTTAAAAATAATAATAAATCATGGTTATTTACAAAGCTTCTTTTAAATTAAATCATTGAATTACAGAGGGTCTATCATTAGATTACTTGGTAGTAAGAATGGCGTATTCTTATTATTAAGTAATAACTCAAGAGAAATTTAAGGTAAAAACTTGTATTGGTTCAGAAGTTATTGCTATTATTATTACTATTATTATTATTGTTGTTGTTGAAACTATTAGGCTTAAATTTCGGATTTGGTCGTTGAAAAATTTTCTTTGACTTTTACTTCATCCTATGATTGATTCTAATATCATACTTTATTGAGATTGATTAGGAGGGATGTAAATTATTGAGGAGTCATTTAAGCTGTCATTTCATCTATCTAATCATCGAGTTACTGTTAACATATCCTCAGATCTTTGGATTTGCATTTCATCTATTTAATTAAACTATAGATATATTCTCCATATTACTAAGAAAATGAGTGCTTATGCTCGAGTATCCTTCTCACAATATGGGTTATTGAATGCTACATTTTGTCTTCGCTACATCCAGTGATTTCTTTGAATTGCTTGACATATTCATGCAATTCCTCATCGTCCAGAATTTGAACTGAATTAATCTTTTATAAATTATACAATTCTTTGGCAGACAATTACTTCCAAATAGCAGTGTACCATAATTACCATCCATCAGTATTCGGGCTACATTCTAAAAGCAATATCTAATGTATTGCTTTCTTTTTGAACCTGTGGCACTAAATTTTAATTTATAAGAGTCTGTGAGCAATGCTTGCATCTCCTATCCTTCAATAGTCTCTGGGTCTTTGCTTTGTAATTAATCGAATATTTGTGCTTGTTCTATGATCATTCCTTTGAAACATGCATTATGTTCAATTATATTGTGAATATGCTTGAATGTTATCTCCGTTTATTATCTGAGTCCCTCTATTTGCCCATTCAAATCTTCAACCTTCTTCTCCAATAACCCAATATATAGCTTCTTCCTTTATCTCGAATTTCTGGCACTTTCCCTATTCTTTTGCATCTTTAAATCCTCATTCTCAAATTATTTCGAAGAGTTCGAAGAAACATTATCCTTCACTCTTTTTGAAGGAAGCAATTTTTCTTTATCCTCTTCCATACTTACATTAAGTAGAGAACTAATTTTCTTAATGTATGCATTCTTCACATTTCCTTTTATATTTTGTAAACACAAAACATCATCTTTTAAAGAGGCCTATGAATCATTCTTAATCATCTATCTATCCTCTTGTTTTATTTCAACTTAACTTCTTACTCGATTCACTTGGTTCTCAAGATTGGATATGACTCCATAAGGTAGAAATGGCATAAAATTCTATTACTGTACTGGTTTCTTCTGAACATAATATAAATAAATACCTCGTCGATATCAAGCATATAATGCTCAGGATATTCGCAATCCACCTTATTATTAGAATTCATAATTATTTATAATATCCGTATATTAGATAATGACGTTTAAGAATAAAAATATATAATCAAAATCAACCATAAATTTAATAGATAATATTTGCTACGGAATATGATTCAAAGACGTATTAATTATTATCGAAATTCATTAAAAATTTAAGAAAAGCTCCACTTTTTTACTTACATAAGGATTCACCTATTTCTTCAATATATACAAAAAATGGAAATTTTTGTATTATTCTTATTACAACTTTTCGTGTTCATAATAGAATGTTCCATTATAATCTAATTAATTGTTGGCTTTATAAATTTGCAACTAGATTTTTAATAAATGAGAAAACCTTTGCAGATTAAAAATAAACCATTTGCAAATTCTGTATTTTCAGTAATAAATTTAGTAAGGTTCAAATAGGATTATGAAAGTATTCTTATCAATTCAGAATTGGATGAAGCCAACCTGAAAATGAATTGGAGTGTAAATTAATGATGAGTTTAGGTTGAGAGAAATTCAGCTCATTGTATTTGTTAGTCAAGGCTAGAAATCAAGCTCATCAGGTAGAAAAGGAGATCAATATTATTTGAATTACTCAATTTCTTTAAATATTAATATTGAGTTAATTATTTATACTATATTAATTTGAATTCAAATTTATATATATGAACAACTCACCTATAAGAAATCAGTCTTATTACTAGGATAAAATTAGGTATCAGAGATCGCCTTATTCGGATAAAGAAAATATAATGAGTGAAGTCAATTAGAGTCAATAGACACTCTAAAGAGAGGGAATTGAAATATTGAATGATGTCGCAGAGACATCAAAAATTGACGAGTCGGTTTTAGATAGCAATCTAACATTGTTTGAAAAGATTACTCATCATAAATGGTAGATAAGAAGATTGGTCTTAATGAATTTAACAGAGGAATATTAAAAAAACTAAACTGTTTATGAATTTTAATCTGCATGGCTTAAAAATATAATAAATGATAGCAATTAATTTGCTATGACAGAGGGCCTTAAATTTATTTAAGTGTTTGTCAAAAGTTAACAAATGAACTATCACATTTTACCATACTTTATTGGTGACCTTATTGAAAGAGGTTCATTTGTAAAGTCTCAAATCCAAGATCTAGTAATCGAAATATTATTGCAATGTTGTAAAACAACTCAAGACACTGGATTTATCCTATCAGAAATTTAAAGAAAAATAGAAGCTAAACATCCCAAGATTATGACTCTATGTTTGACTTTCATTGAAAAGATCCTAGAGCAATCCCCCAATCATTTTATCAAGTATACATTTGTTTTTAATGAATTTTAGAGATTAAATTAGGGATTTTATTGAATTATGTGTGTCCTTAGTTTAACATACTAATAAAGTAATCAGATAAAAGTCAATCAATATATTCTGCAAACTCTTTTAAATGATTTCAGAGAGCTTTGAACAAGTCAAGAAGACTTACTTGGACAAACGATTGAGACAGATTCAAATTAAGGAATTAGAATAATTATGCAACAAAATCACAAAAAAAACTTAGAAAATTGAAATTCAATCTATCTAGCCTGTTATTTAGATAATTGATTTACATACATTGCTACCAGATAAATTCTTTGAAATGCCCTATTACAAACACAATGAAAAAAAGAATATAACTGAATAATTTGCTAAGAATTTAGAGAAGTATGATGGAGATATTGATAATTCTAAAGATTATGGGAGTATTTATGCAATCATCATTACCTTGCTAGAAGAGAGCAACTATTTAATATATAGTCAGGGAATGAGATGCGTTAAGGGATTGGTAAGATTATTGAGAAGAGGAATTCCTTAACCAGTTGCTAAACACTTCTTTATTTTGATCTTGGATAAGTTAAAGGGCTCTTTGTCTAAGCCTTTATAATCAGCAGTGTTCAATCTCTTGGAGGATATATTAATCTATGAAAATATCTCATGTGATCAATTTATGGAACTTATGATAAATTAATTAGAATCATCAAAAAACATTGGATTAAAGATTGCATGTGCAAGGTGGTTTAAAGATGGTTGGCTTGCTTTAGCATTGGCTGTATAAACAGGTTCTTACGAATCCTCTGATTCTGAAGTACTCAAGAAATTTGCTTAGTCAAATAGTGAGAAAATATCGAAATCTCTTCTTGTTCTTTATAAGAAGGTATAATCTATTTTGAAAAAAGAGAACAATTTAAATTATAAGAAAGTGTTATTAGATTTAATCAATTCAATGCAATGTGATGAACAAAGTCTCTAGGTCACTGTTATTGAATCATAGATTGCTATTGTCAATCCTTAATTTGATTTTTAAGAATCCAGAATCACAGAGAAATAATCTAGAAAACAACAAATTAATTCTGTTAAGAGTAGGTACTAAACTGATGAGGATTTATGTGAATTTGCTTAGATTGGAGAAGATATGCAGAATTTTAATTAGGCTAATAAAAACAGGTAAAGTATTGAATTACCTACTTCTCAATTAAACAGAGAATAAATAGAGTTCATGAATAAATTTAGTAGTGATCTCATACAATTAAGAAAACTGTCATAAAACAATTAAGATCAATAAATATAAAACAAAATAGAAGAAATATTACTTTCATTCAAGACTCATTATTCAGATAAAAACATTACCAGCAATGATTTCTTATAATAAATGACTAACAATGTTATAATGGAATTGTTACATTTCTGTAAGAAGGTCTAAGTGTAAAAGAAAACAATTGCTGATAAATTGTATGACTTCATAATTTCTTTGTTGATTAAAATGAATAAAATCTAGGTGACATTAGATCAAGAAATGCTCTATTAGGAATATAAGATATGTTTAATCTAATTAAATCAATTGGACATTCAAAAACTGTTGGCACTTCTAGAGAGCTTATACATTTGTAATTCATTGGAAAGCATGATCAAGATTGGATACAGGATAACTAATAAATATCTCTAAAAATAAACTAACAGTAATATTAAAATCTTCCAAGCTTTCATTAATTGGATTACATCAAAAATTAATGCTGCAACTTAACAACAATTAGATCCTGGATTTATAAGAACTTCTTATAAGACTTTTGAAACTACTTTTAAAATGTTCCCCCAAACATAATTAGATGTTAGATTGCTATTAAATGCATTAAAAAGTCGCATTGTAAATCAATAGGTGGAATAATTGGATTAATATTAAGATTTGCTAAATTAATCATAAAGAAAGTCTAAGTCTAAATCTTTTGGATCCTAATCCAGATTTTCTCCTTATGAAACACCAAACAAAACTCAAAGTAAATTGGAGTTTTCTGATTCTGAGGAAAAGGAAAATTAGGAATCATTACAGTAAATAGAATAATAGGTTTCCACTCATTTCACAATATAAGGTTTGGAGAAATTTATCCATTATTTGAATCGTCATAGAGCCTATCAACTTTGTAATTAATCGTAACACACAGTATTTTTAAGTCCAAATTCTAGTTCACCTGGTAAACATTGGAGAAGAGGAATCGGCAGAGAAAACATGATTATAAGTTCTCCAAATAGGTAATAATATGAAAGTTCTAAATTCGAAGATTTCACAAAGATTTTAGAAATAGTTTGTTAGAATTTCAGCATTTAAATTCAAAATTAGGTTTTCTAAATGTTTTATTTGCTCAAACATATCTTTCCAAGCAGTCAACAGTGTCTGATTTATCTCATCTTTGCCTACATTTGTCCAAAGACAGAATACTCAGAAAGTTTTGAAGTGTTCCTGAGTACATTCCTGTAACTTGACAAAAGTGTTATGGCATACTAATATAGATAGGCTTTTAATATCTTATATTAAAAATCAGAAAATGAAAAAGTATTAATTAACTTGATACACACTGGATTCAACTTTCTATTTCAAAAAATATTTGAAAATGATTTACTTACATGTATTCAATATTTCATCACTACTTTAACCTACATGTTAACTTAGAATATGTTCTGTTAAATAGCAAATGATTTATTAAGTAAATATTAGCAATAGACTAATAACTTTAATTAAATTGTGGAAACAGAATTAATTAATTATAAGAAATTATATGATACCTACTTAAATTGGTAGTAATTATAGTAATAAACAAATGAAAAGCCTTTGATTGATGTTTAAAAACTATACAAGTAACAACAGAATGACATCTTGATCGTTGATCTTTAGGAAATTGATGAATGTGCATCCAAAAGAGAAGAAACAGTGAGAGAACACATTAATAATAGTTAACAAGAAAATTTTATCCACATCAACAAGGAGGACTTTGAATTATTGGAAAGCACCACCAAAAATTTTAATTCACAATAAACATTAAGATTTACTGAAGAAGGACAATAGCCATAGCACGATATTTTAAATATCTAATAATTCATTAGTCCTCTCTAATAAATAAGTCAAATCAGCAATTAAATGCATGATACTGTTATTCAGGATCTAGCAAAGAACCTCTACTCAAATGATACCCATAGATTAAAGGAGTTAGATATGATCAAATTACAAAATGAAACATATAGATAACATAAAAGGGATAGTCATAAATAGGTCTAAGAGTCATATCCATAACCACCATTGAAGGATCCAATGAAATAGAAGATCGAGAAAATTTACGAAGAAGTTCAAAATGAATCTGTCAATGGAAATTTCAATGAAAAAAGTCTACTTGGAGATGTGCTAGCCCCCATCGAAACTACATCACTCTTTGATCAGGCTAGGAACTTAAAAAGAAATGAATGCATAAAGTAAATGTAAGAAATTTTATTGACATCAACATCATTATATTTCGATGTGGCATCAACTCTGCTTCTTTAATATGAAAATTTAGATATGGCTGAAGATAAATTGGGCTTCATCAATGATCTTAAACTATCATTGGTCAATTAAACTTTGTTAACTAATATTAACCAGCAAAACTTTTCAGTCATCATAGCCATCGTCTTGAGATTGTGTACAACAGTAATTTATTTTAATACCTATTTAATAGCCTGCAACTTAATCTGAAATCTATAACAGTTCGTTAGGATATGATGATAATCAACTGACAAAGTCCCTTTAGCAAATCTTAGATGTTCTTTTGCACTCTAAAGATACTGAGCAAGTATTGATTTGTTTAATACATGTGTTTAATGATCATTTGCCTATGGATTTCACAAATGAAATTTCAAAAAGTATTACAATTTTTAGATTAGTTTATTAGATGAAAAAATGATGTTAAGGTTAAATTTGAAATGTATTGAGAGATTGATCTAAAACAGTGAAAAATTGCATGTATTTGGTATTTTAATTGAAATACTTAAATTCTTTAAATGCCATCCTCCTGAAAACTTAATTGTAATAATCAATAAATTATAATTTAGGAAGGGCTACCTTCAATTAAGGAACTTGAATTATACTTTAGATAATTGAAATAAATTACTGACAGTTTGTTGACTAATAATTTATAGGAAGGAAAAGAGTTCTTAGAATTTGTTTACAGAAAAAATAATAAAAGCATCTTTTTAGATTATGTCAAAAGTGTAATTGAAAAAAAATGATGTTAAATAATTAATTTTATTTTCTAAATATATTAGAATTTACTAATTATTTGCTTTGAACTTTGAAGATATAAGGCATCTTCAAGAGAACCCGTTCGAATATTTTATTTTGATTTGATCAAGTAAGAATTAATAATTATGTAATAAATTTCAATAGAAGTTATACAAATTTTTCATCTCATTTATTTAATTTTATGTAATAAATACCTCCTCCAAAAAAGGATACTTAAAGGGGATCATTCGTGGCAAATACACCGTTATCTCCAAGAAGTCAGACTTCAAGGAAAAGCTCTCTGATGAATAGACAATCATTTGAATAATAAGAACTTTATTCATCAAGAAGGATTGGATTAAACCTAAAAGACCCTTAAGTACTGAATTAGATTTTATATGATAGAAAGTGGAAGAGATGATCAAAATCAGATAACAAAGATTGCCTCGAAAGGAAGCAGCAAAGGACGGTGAGAAAGATCTTCGAGAAATATCAAAAGCATACGATGTATTAAAAAATGCTTTGCCTGAAATAAACAATAACTATGGTGTCATAAAGGATCAAGAACTGCTTTAGTTTTATAAACAATAGATAGTTATAAACTAAAATCCTCGAAAGAATTTTTTTGAGTTCAACACCTACTTTTATAAGAATTATTAAGCGAACAACAATGGTCCTTGCACAACTCTCCCTTAATTGCTGATAAAAAAGGTGGAATCATTTTAAAACAAATTGGAATAACTTATTAAGGATCGATGAAGACGCGGTTAGAATCTAAAAAAGATTTATTTAGTATGTATATTTATATATGACTATCTTATATTTTGTTTTCGTTATTTGTTTTATTGAATAAATCAGACCAGACTTAAATTGCTAACTGATGCTGTGTCCCAACTTGTGTGTCTATCTGTTCTTTTGAGGCTAATTAATTTTCTTAAACAAGCCTTATAAACAAATCTTTCCTCCTCACATTCCCATAAATAATGCTTGATTTTTTTTGTTAATGGTCGCATACTAACAGTATAAGAATATGTAAATACTAGGTATAATGTGTTGAGCTATCTTGATGCATGGGAGTATGTCCAAAATCCTAGAGTATAAGTGGAAATAATTACGATTGACTTGCCATCAGTAAGCATTCTAGGCCACATTGAAGGCCAGCTTGGATGAATGATTTCCATTTATTTAGTATTTGATCTATTAGAAATAATTGAAATGTTTACTCGAAAGCACAGTCTTCATAATCATGCATTTGTTTTAAGCATGGAGTTGTGTCTAAATAGGCTAGATATCATACCAAAGACAGGTGGCACTGAAGAAGGGAGTGTACCAAAATACAGATAACTCATATTAAATAAATTAATCAAATATCTGGTTCTTTGGATTGAGGCTTTCTGGATTATTTTTACTCTATTTATTCAAATACTTCAACAGGGTCCTTCTTCTTACGTTGGTAGTCCTGTAAAATCTGTTTGGCTGCAGCTCTTCTCATATCTGTCTTGGCATCAATCGAAATATTTGGAGATTTGCTTGAATTAAGAACTTAAGAAGCTAACTATTATAAACTATCAGAGTACTTCGTCGTCTAATTTCGGAGAGATTTCAATAATATTATTTAATTCATAACCTGCATTTATCAAAATATTAATACCTACATATGCAAATATTGCAGCTATACCACCATAAGTAGCTATGTTTCCTACCAAACCATACCTGAACATTTTATAACCAAAATTAATAATTATTAATTCATTTATATTATTTCATTAGTTTTCTATAGTCTCCGAAACTCGATTTCATTGCCATCCTCTTCTTTACAAGTGGAACTTAATCGCTTTCCAATAATTCAATCATCGACATAGATATTTTTACTATTGAAAAAATCTCATATTTTATTACTCTCTTCAGGGGTCAATTTTTAGGTCAATCCCAATTTTACTTGCTTAATGCACCATGCTATTTCAAGATCTGTCTGTTCAGCCTCAGTCAAATTCAACTTTGCCTTTATCTCCTCCTCAACTTATTAAATGATCTCCTAATTCTATTCCTTTAACTTTTTCTTCTTCTCCTTTTTTTTCTGATTCCTCTTTTAGTTCTTACTTAGTTAATCTCCTTATTTCTCATCCTATTCTTCAACTACTTCTTCCTTCTCCTCCTGTTGCAATTTCTCCTCTTATTTATCCATTAATTAATATTAAAATGTAATTATTTAACTAATCCAGTGTTCTTTTATCCTATTATATTATTTATTTATATAACGCACTTTTTAAAATTTATACAACTATTTTGAAATACTTCTAGTTTTAATAATACATATTTTCAAGAGTCCTTGTTATTGATACTTAGTACTTATTTATGTTAATTTCCTAAAATTACGTTTAATCTATCAAATTGATAATATGGGAACTTATTGTAGTCCAAAATTGTAATAAAGGGTTGACGTCTGCTTTTGATCTCTCAATCACAGGGATATTAAAAGTGGCAAAAGTCTATATTTATAATTAAAAGTTATTATTTCTTATTTTAAAAAAATGCTTAAATTATGATGATTTGATTTATATAAAGAGTAGATCTATTTCAGCCATTATTTTTAAAATAAAATTTAAGTAAGATTTATATTTTGGATATAATTATAATATTTATTATAATTCAGAATGTATTAAATCTAAGTTAAAATATTTCGACTTTACATTCTCTTAATGTTTTGGCTTTTAATTTCCTGAAGCTTTCAAAATGTTTTCAGCTATTAAAAGTAATCAATCTCTCAATTGCAATTTGGCATTGTTTTTTCGAAACCCTAGAGTAATAATTTATCTTTACTCTATGGTTATTTTCTGATCGAAATGCATGCTCAGAGTTTATAGCTATTAAATTAATTTCTTGTTTTATTCGCTAGTAAAATTCATAGATAACTCATAAGTATTATCTGTGATAAGAACAATTTGCAATAGAATAATGATTTAATTAAATCACTAATAATACTATGTTTATTTCTATTTCAATTGTAAATTCCGTTTTTGAAATTCCCTTAAAGACATTCAACAACACTACAATGATGATTTTTTACATAATGAAAACAAAATAATAATCAAAATGACTAAATAATCTCATCTATTCTAATACTCTCTTCATAAAGTACTTTGCTGCAATGTTGCTTACTGCAACTATTTAAACTTTTAGCTGCCGAATTAGTACTCATACAATACGTAAACTAAAATTATAAAACGCGTTACATCTTGATAGCCAGCTTCAGTTCCCTTATATTACCCAGATTTTTATGCTCGATGAACATATTTTTTAAATTCATTAGCACATTTTGCAGCAGTTTAATCACAATTTCCTCCGTTTTTACAAGCTTTTAGTTGAGCTCCACAATAGGCATTTGTGCAATCGCCTGCTTTTGATAAACACAAAACAATTAGTATCAAAAAAATTAAGAATTTTTTCATTATTTATATAAATTAATTTAAAGTTTTGGGAGCATATGAAAAATTTATAAATTTTAAATTTGTTTTGATTCACAAGGATTTTTTAAATCTATTTCTTCAGAAGATATTGATGAATGATCCTTAAATAGCATGATTATTTAAATTAGAAATTATCTACAAAACGCTATGTGTTATCAAGTCTAAATTTTTGTACTTGCATTAATATTATGAAGATAATTAGGTTTATTTTGCTTATCACTTGTGTAAAATTGACTTGAATCATTATTTGAATATTAAGAACAAGACTAAACTAATAAATAAATATTTATTAAAATAACTTATCTCTTTAATCAAAGGCTTAGTATTATTTCAATATAGAATACATGATGTCTAAATTTTGGATCACTATAAAGTAAAAATAATATTATTAAAGAATATGAATAAATAAAATAATTAAAATATAATAGAGTTGTTTTGATATCTGACTAAGTAAAACCTAATAATATCTTTAGATTTGCTTAATAAAATAAATCTGGGGATTTATATTGAAGAATATGAAATAATGAGATAGATAAAGACATGTTATAATTTTATTAACCATACAAACCCAAATATGAAAGCAAAACTGATGTTTGAATAAAATATTAAATAATTTATATATAAATGTCATCATAATCTCAATAAGAGGACGATTAGGATTTGGAGAATAATGAAGAACTTTAAGCAGATGATCTAGACATATCATCGAAATAATAAGAAAGTGAAAAATAAGTTAAGAGTAGTATAAAAAAAGTAAGAAATTATTAAAAAGTTCCAGAGCATCTCAAATCATAACTTCTTAAATTAGTTATTTAATAGGGAGTTAAGATAAATTAAGTAATTTAAATGAGTATATCATAAGGCAGCTCAATAATTGAATTTAAAATATGCCACAGCCAAAACAATAGTCTTTACCTACCGAGCTCAATCCAAGCCTAAAAAATCTAAAAATAAAAAAAAGAAAACTGCTACAAAGGTGGAATTTGTACCAATTCAAAATAATGTTGTCTATCCTATTCATGTAGAAATATCGATTGGAGGAAATATCTAAAATAAATTTACACTTTAATGAATAATTATAGAAATATTGTGTTATATAATTGGAAATATATAATCAATCGAATAATTTTTCTAAAAATGATTTTTCTTTGTTAGGCTTTTACGGAACTCCTTGTTATTATTATTATGGTATTTGTTATTGTTATTGTTATGGCTATTATTATTATTAATATGGCCTTGTTCTTCCAAGATCCTATTGAAGTGATTACTATTAAGGAACAGACTATGCAAACTACATGTATGAGATTAATATTTACTTGATTAGGACCTACGGTCTATTGTAATTATGGGTTGTATTAAGCAGTTTAGGCCAATTGCGATTATGGAGGCTTACTTTAGAATGCAGGCTATTATTCAACTTATTAATTTATGGGTTATTAACCATAGATTGAGTTTTGGTTTTGCTAGGGAACAGTTTGAGTTGGAATTTAATATCCTTATGGCACAGTTGCTGTTGCAATTGGCTACTTAGCAACTGGTTAAATTTAGCTTGCCTAAAATTATTATCCATAATTTAATGGGACAGTCTATAATAAGATTTGTTAATAGTATTACTTATTATATCTAATATTAGGGTTATTGAATTCCAATGGGACTAGCATACTGTTAGTATTGAGTTGGTAGATATTATGCCTAGGGAGCTGGTTATTTTAAGGGGACTGATTATTGGATTGGAAGTTATTAGATGTATTGTTATTATTGAGTAACTGGATATTGGGTGACTTCTCTTGTTTAGATTTGGGTTGGCTATTAGTATGGCTGATAAGCAAGTGCAGGTTGTCGTTCAATTACTTGATTGTACTAAAATTGTTCAGGTATATAATTAGTTTGTATTTGGGATTAATATCCGATTGGCTATGAAAATACATCATTGAATTTACTTATTATATGACATTTTGCTTTTCGACTATATAATATTCAGTCCTTTCTGCAACTCTCTCAACTGGCACATACTCAATCTGTTTCTCTTGAATCACTTGAGGGATGTATTCGATATCATATTATACAGCGTAGTAATCGGTGACTTATTTAGTAATCGGAACTTGGACTTATCTTCTTACTTCTTCGTATTCTGTGATGGTTCGTTCATATGGGATGTATTCTATTCTGGACTGGCCTTTTACAACATTCCCTTCTTGTGGTGGTTAGGCAATTTATTGGATTTGAGATTGGCCAAAGATGGGTTATTAAGGGCCAAGCTTGCCAGGTTAAAGTTAAGCATAGAGTGGTTGTTGCAATGGTTAACTAGAGTAGGGTTGTTGGACAATCTATTGTGGCAAATATTGCAAGGCAGTATCAGGCAAGGATTGGATGGGCAGATTAGATTTAGCAACCTGAGGTTATCCTAAGGTTGGTTATTGAAATGTTGATGGTTCTCTGTTGTTGGTTGGCAGATTAGAAGGGGGGGAGTATTGTTGAGGAGGTAAGTTAGCCATGGTAAAGATATTAAATAATTAAATTTTATTTTTTTATTCATATATAAATCAACTCATCGTTAAAAATTATTATATTATTATGAATTTAATTATGCAAAATGAGAATGCCTACCAAGTCAAAAGGAAATTAGGGAATGGCTCATTTGGTTGTGTATATTTAGTGAGTGATGTCAAGAGCAATCAAGAATTTGCCTGCAAAATTGTATTGCACATATCCTTTATTTTAGGTGTCCAAATCTATGCTGGGTAAATATTAGGCTGAGGGGATGGTGAGGTAGGAGATTCAAATTCAATCAAGCATCAACCACAGAAACGTAGTAAAAGTGTTTAATTCATTTGAAGATACTAAAAACATCTACATCATTTTAGAATATTGTAAGTAAGGTCAATTACAACTCCCCTCACAACCTTATACAAACAAGCAACTCATCCAATTCCTCAACCAAATGCTCAGCGCTCTTGATTCTATTCATCAAATGAATCTTGTACATAGGGATATCAAAGTAAGTAACATCTCCCCAATTCCAGTTAGACAACATCCTTGTTCACGAGGATGGAACTTACAAAATTTCAGACTTCGGATGGGCTACCCAAATTTCTTAAATTAAACCTATCCTATGTGGTACTACCGAGTACATGCCTCCAGAAGTTGTCAATAACTAAATTCATGACCATAAGGTAGACTCCTGGTCGTTAGGGATTGTACTCTATGTACGAATGTCAATTATTCTAGATTCTTACTCATTGCAGAAAGCCTTTCTCTGCTAAGACAGATCGTGAATTAATAAAATAAATTTCTGAAAATGAAATTGAAATTGATACTTAATTGGATGAGAATCTATAAATTCTCATTTAAGCATTACTTACCAAGGATCCTAGTTATAGACCCAACATATAATAGCTGTATTTCAGCAAGTGGATTAAATTCTAAATGAAACAACATAAAATATTCAATAGATATGAACATGAGAAGTTAAAGAATAAATTCAGAAATTAAAAGATTGAAATCAAGTCTGTTGACAATCGGTAATCAATAGAATTCATTTTAGTGCCATTTAATTAAGAAAGAAGAAGCAAATACTTCAAGATTGTTCTCTATCTCATAGTATAAGTACTTAATTGAGTAATTGCGACATGAACGAGTCAGGAATAATAGAGAGATAAAAATAAGAAAAACTATGACTTATTATTTATATTAACATAATTATCCGTCATTTATTTTGTATTTTATTAAAAGTGTTATAATATTAAGTTTAACAGTTTACTTAATTAACTGTTTTCCATGTTATTATAATTATTATTGTAATATAAGTATGGAACATCAAAGGTTGGGGGATATAGTATTAATAAAAATTATATGTTGATTAAATATTATTATCAAATTATTGAGGGCAGTCCTTATTAATATTTGAATCATTAGTTGGCTCATTCGTTTTAATATCTCAAAATATGCAATTTGCCAATTATAATGCACGTTTCCAAAAGAAGGGAATAGCATCGAGTCAGGTGTATTAACAGACTTGAATGTTCGATTTGATATTATATTATTTGTTTTTAAGGAAATATTGTTCTGTTTTGGTTGTATCTTGAGGGAGGTGATAGTATAAATCCCACTTTATGAGGGGAAAATTTAAAAAGAAAAAAACATTTTTAATTATAGATATGGCCTAGCATCTGTAGGACAGCGAACTATTAACAGCAAAACCTACCCTTCACAATCGATAGGATCTGGTTATTTAGGGTTTGGGTGCACAAGAACAAAGCGATTCAAGCTTTTCATCCCAACATTTATGTTCTGTAAATAAATCAGACTTAACTTGATTAGAGCCAATAGAGTAGTCATAGGAACATCAATCTTAGTCAGAGTTCATTTAAGAAGATCAGCAAGAGTAGTTCGGATCTTTAGAACTTCACAAACAAACATGCCCACATATGTGCCCATTATAATTTCCTCGGGAGATGTCCTCTGGAACATTGCAAGTACGATTAATAGGTCAATATCTGTAGAAAGAGACACATTTTTGTATCCGAAGATGATGGTTTAAGCGATCTAATATCTGACAATATTGATTTAATTGACAACCTCACAAGCAGCGGAAACAAACTCAAATTGCCTCATACTACCTATGGAACTTAGCTATCTAAATATAGAAAATGTAAATCCAATACTAAGGAATTTTGTGAGAAATTGGAGCACAAGTTCATAAGTTAGGAATAAATACATTTTGGCGATTTTCCTATATAAAACTTTTGGAATTGGAATGCCTTTGCTCTGCAATCCTTTTCCGTCAAGTCCCAACCTGATCTGGGCAATACTCCACAAGAGAATAAATATTTCAGCCAACTAATTAAACCCAAACCTCTTGTGGATTACAAATAGGCTTCTGAAATTTTAGAGAATTCTTCATCAGCTCTAAACATTTCGAATGAGATCAAAAAAAATCTAATGTCCAAGCTGAAATCCGACATTGATAAAATGTAATAAAAAATAAAGACGATCTCTATGCTAAAGAAATGGATAACCAATCAGTAAGTGGATTAGAATGAATACAAGAACTTGTACTCCTCTCTTTCCCAAATTCAGTAGATCCATTATACTAATTTTCTTAGGATCACTAACATTTCAATATCCAGTATTTATACATTAATATATTATTAGATTAAGCAAAACTCAACAATTAGTTTCAAAATGTAAATTACATATAATAATGAATTTTATCATTGTTTCATGTATAGTGTAATGTGAATAATAAATATTTAATATCAAGTGCTCTGACTGACTCTCTTTCTCTCTTTCTGAAGTCTCACACCCTATTTTTTGATCATCTAATTTTATCATACTTTTTCAAATATTCTGTCTTGTATTTTTTATTGAAATATTCAAAAATTTTAGCATATCTTAGAAATAGTATTAAACTATATAAGTAGCTAAAATAATCAAATAAATGAAATATCAGATCCGCAATAAAAAATAAATGTTTGTCAATAATTTTATTAGATATTACAAAAAATCAAAATATTTGAGATAATACTCATAATTCAAATAACAATGGAAACATGAAAATTAATATTAATAAATAATATTATCAATTTTGAAATCTAAAATAAATAGCTTAATATTAATAAGCATAATAAATAGTAAGAATTCTTCATTAAAATAGCTATAATATTTATTTGAAAAATGGTATAATATTATTTAATTTTGATTCAATATGCTTAAAATATCATATTTTTTCTTAGAATGTGCTGTCCGATTTAGTTACTTTCTTGTAGTCTGCTTATTAATAAATGTTGTACGATGTTCCCTTGGGATACCAATTTTCATCTATATAACATTAATAACAAAAAATATACCTTCCATTTCCAATTGTTCTTAGATATCATCCTAGGATTTCCATAACTCTCTTCTGCAATTTGGGTTTCTGGGTGAAGGAAAGACTCTATCACTCTCAGGAATATTGAATTGATCTTCAATTCCAACCATTTCACCTCCCCCTAGAAGAATAAAAGGTTTCAATTACATTCGCATTCATATTCAAACCAAGTATTAGGCACACCCAAATCCAAGTCACCTGTTGGTTTGATCATAGGATCTGACCACAGGAAAATTTCCCAATGGTAATCTATCAATTCCCTAACTGGTGCAAATCCAACAGGTAACTTAGCCAAATCTTCCAAGACTTGAACATTCCAAAGGATTTCAACCTTCTCACCTTTTGAATTGGTCACAACTTATCTTGCAACATAAACACTGTTTGGAACATAATCCACATCGAAACCACAATTATAAACTAAATATGCGAAATCCACTTATTCTTATGGTGTTAAACCCATATTCAAAATCTTCTCAACTTCCCTTCTTGTTATTCCTAACCATTTTTAATGATCGAAATTACCTGGCACTCTTCTCATGATTTCGTCTGGATCCATCTAACAACTCCATGTACCTTGTCTACCAATTGAAGTATTTTGCCACACAGCTCTTACATCTTCCATGCTAATTAAAATTATTGTGAGGATAAAAATACGTGTATGGACCATCATAGGGAGGTAGTGGACCTGATTGTCTGACTGGATTGACATGTCTGACATTACGCACTTTGCATAATCAACATTACCATACCTGGAAGGGGCACTTATTATGATTTAGCTATATCAGCAATTTCCTTGTTGGATTAGAAAAAGTTTGGGTTCAAATAATGTCTATATCTGTTTGGATTGTATGGCCCATCTATGGCATATCAGCAATCACTTTACTTCTCGAAGAGAATGTATATTGAGGCAATGCTTTACGGAATCCAATATTAATAGCACGATTAAGCATATCTATAAAAAAAATATTAATAAATCTCTACAAACGAATTATTAAATAAATTTAGAGCACTCCTAAACTATTTATGCTATTCTAATCTATATTGTATTATTATTGCTTCTGAATACAGCATCCTAAGAGACAATCGATCAATGTATAAATGAGGAGAGCAAGCAACATTTTGAAATCAATTAAATAATTTTATTGAAAAAAAGTTATTCTATTATATCACATAATTTTTTACTTTAATTTGGTTGGTTCTTAGATACCAAATCATTGAGAAATTCAATTTCATACTTAAAGAAAGGAGAATCACTCTTAATTATTGTATATAAATAATTTTAGATTATGAAAGGATAAATTATAATGAAAGGATATAAGTTATATTAGATTAAATCGTTTAATAATATGTGCAAATATTGAAATGCATTTAATTATTCAATTTAATAAACTAATTATTATTAAGATTATGTTGAAAGATTCATGCAATTTAGAAATTATGATATATGAAATTATAAAATATTAATAATATAGAATTATCATATAGANAGAAAGATCAAAGGTCACATTTACATTCGCATTCATATTCAAACCAAGTATTAGGCACACCCAAATCCAAGTCACCTGTTGGTTTGATCATAGGATCTGACCACAGGAAAATTTCCCAATGGTAATCTATCAATTCCCTAACTGGTGCAAATCCAACAGGTAACTTAGCCAAATCTTCCAAGACTTGAACATTCCAAAGGATTTCAACCTTCTCACCTTTTGAATTGGTCACAACTTATCTTGCAACATAAACACTGTTTGGAACATAATCCACATCGAAACCACAATTATAAACTAAATATGCGAAATCCACTTATTCTTATGGTGTTAAACCCATATTCAAAATCTTCTCAACTTCCCTTCTTGTTATTCCTAACCATTTTTAATGATCGAAATTACCTGGCACTCTTCTCATGATTTCGTCTGGATCCATCTAACAACTCCATGTACCTTGTCTACCAATTGAAGTATTTTGCCACACAGCTCTTACATCTTCCATGCTAATTAAAATTATTGTGAGGATAAAAATACGTGTATGGACCATCATAGGGAGGTAGTGGACCTGATTGTCTGACTGGATTGACATGTCTGACATTACGCACTTTGCATAATCAACATTACCATACCTGGAAGGGGCACTTATTATGATTTAGCTATATCAGCAATTTCCTTGTTGGATTAGAAAAAGTTTGGGTTCAAATAATGTCTATATCTGTTTGGATTGTATGGCCCATCTATGGCATATCAGCAATCACTTTACTTCTCGAAGAGAATGTATATTGAGGCAATGCTTTACGGAATCCAATATTAATAGCACGATTAAGCATATCTATAAAAAAAATATTAATAAATCTCTACAAACGAATTATTAAATAAATTTAGAGCACTCCTAAACTATTTATGCTATTCTAATCTATATTGTATTATTATTGCTTCTGAATACAGCATCCTAAGAGACAATCGATCAATGTATAAATGAGGAGAGCAAGCAACATTTTGAAATCAATTAAATAATTTTATTGAAAAAAAGTTATTCTATTATATCACATAATTTTTTACTTTAATTTGGTTGGTTCTTAGATACCAAATCATTGAGAAATTCAATTTCATACTTAAAGAAAGGAGAATCACTCTTAATTATTGTATATAAATAATTTTAGATTATGAAAGGATAAATTATAATGAAAGGATATAAGTTATATTAGATTAAATCGTTTAATAATATGTGCAAATATTGAAATGCATTTAATTATTCAATTTAATAAACTAATTATTATTAAGATTATGTTGAAAGATTCATGCAATTTAGAAATTATGATATATGAAATTATAAAATATTAATAATATAGAATTATCATATAGATATATAAATCAATTTTCTAAATAAGAAAGTATAATATATGATGTTTAATATCAACATTTTTGATAAGCTAGAATAAGATATCAATATTAAAGTATGGTTTGATATAATTATATATAATACAGCATGAATTTATCAATATTTAGAATTCTTTTTTCCTGCCACCACCAGAGTTGATTAGACATTGTTAATTTGAGGAGGTATGTAACTTTCAGAAAATTTAGGTTGTGTAGGATCCCCAAATTGATTAGGAGGGTTATTCGTAGGATCTCCAAATTGATTTGGAGGTACATATTCATTAACATATTTTGATTCTTAGTTAAGCGGATTGCTTTGATTTTGTACTATGTTATTTTATATGTTTGAATAGACAGGAGGGAATTTGGATTAATAGGGTGATAAAGGTTTTTAGTAAGGACTAGTTTCTGAGTGATGAATATCTTCTTTCGAAGGAATTGGTTGTCTCTAAGTGTCTGGATCAGGTATGTACAACTTCTGCTTCTTCTATTTAAAGCACCAATGGAACATCTATACTATAAACATCATAATTAAGATGAATTCACTGATGGCTATGATTATTATCGAAATTGTAATGAGTGATACGTAAGTATTGACATCTGCTGGGAAGAGATTGGGAAAATTTGCGAATACATTGTAAATTTAATCAGAGGAGTAGCAACTAGCTAAGGATTTAAAATAGAGTTCTGAGTCATTTCTAAGTTTTTCTTGATATAAAATTAGACCTCCTTCAATTAGTATGAATGACATTTGGCATACCAGCAGAATTTTGAAAATGACTGTGATTATTCTTATATCATTCACTATCCTGAATTTGAGAATATAAATTTCTATTATTAAAATAATTCCAATGAATCCAGTGAATATCTATTTAATAACAACGTAAATTAGACCAATTTCTTAAATTGATTATTCACAATTTTCAGTTTCATTAATCATTTTATTATCAATCTATGTGCAAGTATCATCGGCTTTTGAAGCAATTTTATTCTTTTTTAAATATAATATATATATACTCTTGCAGTCAAATAGGTTATTGCTGAACTAGTTACAGATGAAGGTACACCATTAAATGACAATGCTTCTAGGCCTTACTTAGCAAAATCCCCCAATGTTGTTTGTTCTATTTTCACACTATTATCGGTATCAAAATCGGTGCCTTCACAATTTTCAGGATCTATGTAGTCACTATTGTTGGTTAACCCTGCTGTTATATAAATTAAAGGATTCAAACATGGATATCCCCTAATTACAACTTGAATTTTAAATATCCCATAGGATGAATTTTCTCTTTGAATATATAAGTCTCTATTCTTTTCCAAGTTTTGATCTGCATCTTCATCGACAACCTCATTTTATATTATAGTCAATTTTGAAATGGGACACTAAGAACCTTCGCTTGTTTGTATACAATAGGGTCCACAATTATATTCAGTTTCTGAACATTCAGTTGACAATCTTATGTCTACAAATCTAGTAACACAAATCTATTGAGAGAACCATCTTGTGATATTGAATTCTGCATATGGAAATAATTGTTAAATTTCTTCAGATGAGTCACAATCCAAGTCTCTGAAGTATACTCTAATTAATAGTGATTTGTTACTGCTTAATTGGTTTGTAGATGAGATTATCTGAAATATATCCAATTGTAGCATTTTGAGCATCATATTGATATTCATTTGAATAAAAATCAACTACTCCATGCACTATGTCCAATCCTATGCTGATCAATAAAGAGATGATCATAAAGAAAAGAGTTAAAGACTTCACAACCTTATCGTAAACTGAACTATGAATTTACTCAATCGGATGCTTATTCATATATTTTATTTTCAAAATGCATAATTAAAAACATAAACAAAATATTTTATCTCACTGATTATTGCGTAGATTTCTTACTAAACCACCTGGAAGTACAATCTATTTCTTTATCTAAAACTAATCCTCTTTTGTAAAACCCAACTACGAAAGTTTTCTGTTGAAATTAGTTCTCGTTATGGCCTCATCCAAATACAAGTTCATCAATTGTATATCCTTTATAAACTCATTATACTACACTTTTTATTCATCCTAATTACACATATTAATAATTCTCTTTGATTTCTGGTTAAATTAATTTAGTAAAACTGTCTTTTCCTTCTTCTTATCCATCAATTCCTATATCAATTGTGACTTCCTATTTTCTGATGGCAAGGTATGTACAATGCTCTCTGGTTTACATCTTGATTTCAGAGGAGGATTGCATTTCGATATGTTCAGCAATTATTACTCAAACATAGAACTTATTTTTATCTTTTATGACTTATTTTGAGATTTATTTTGAGATTTATTTCTTAATTGATCCTCTTCTATACTCTAACTGTGCTTTATCTTAACTTCATTTATTTTAGACTTGATAAATTCATTGGCTTGCTATTTGAATGCCTTATAAATGTCTTCTTCCAATTATTCCGTAGAATTAAGATCGATCCCGTACTACAAAACTATCTTGTAGAGCTCCTTATCATAATCTATTTATGTTGGCTTCTATTACTGAATCTGTACCCCACTCTTTGGCTCTCCTGCTTGAGTTTTGCATTTTATGGGTTTTCCAAGTTTCTAAAGAAAATTTTCAGTCTCCTCTCTCTCTTTCTTTACTTATTCGATTTGATCTTCAACATGATAATAAAATAGATTTTAATCATACTGAGATTTTGTCACATAATCTCTGTTTGACATTTAATCGCAACAACTTTAAAATTAACTAACTGCTCTCCTTCCAAGGTCTTGTAATCTCTCCTTTGATAACTCCTTAGTCTTCTTATTTGGTACCTTAACCAAGCCTAAATCTAGAAAACAATCACTATCCAAGAATGCTTTATCAAATTCTGTTACGAACTCTACTTCGTATTATTCATACATCTTTTCTAAATCTGCTTCTTGTTGATCCAATTATCTTGCTACTTTCCTTCTTATTAGATAATTCTTTACTGATTCTAATAAATCTCTATTGTTTATAATATTCAACCTCTTTAATTTGGTTTTTGTGTCAATAAAAGTCTCAAGTATCTTGAATTATTGTAACTAACGATTAAATCTACTCTTGTTTGAATACTTTACCTGACATCATGTGTATTATTTGTCAATTTTAACTGCGCCTTAACTTTATTCACCAATTTTCTTACCCTCTCAGTGCTACAACTCTCTTGATAATCCTACTGTAACTTAGTAGACTGAAATGGTTATATGGTTGGCAAAGCATCATTCACTTTTAGGAATCTCAGATTTTTCGTCATTCAGTCTATTTCTTATAAATAAAATAAATCACTCCTTTACATTAAATCTAATCATGATATCAACTTAACACTTTTGAGATTAACTATTAACCTGTTCAGCAGAAATTAATATAATCGTATATACATGAGTTTTCCTCTTTAAATACTTACATTCAAAGCTTTATTCTGATTAACAAATATGCTGAACCCTTATAAAATTGCATTAATTATTGAAATCGTGCCAATGTAGAGATCAAATTCATAAGAATTAGGAATTCGGTGTACAAGACTTAGTAAAACTATTGATTATAATTCTAAAACCATCTGACAAGCAAATAACAATCAAATATCTGTTTGATTAATATGATATAATTTTATTATAATTCACCATAATTTAGTTGAAATATTGAGAAACAACAATGCCCAACTATTATTCAAAATATACATATATTGTGTAGAGAATTGAAAGAGAAATCAATATGTCTGATTTGTTTTCAAGATTTAGAGAATATCAACAAGAATATATATAACAAATATAAATGGTATTTAATCAAAATTCTATTACTTTTCTCTAGTTTATAATATTAATGAAGTCTTTCAAAGGTTTTAAAGAGAAAATAAAAAACTTTATTAATTATTTAATCTATAATGAAGTCATAGGAAACAATTAATGAGGCTTTGGAAGATCTGTATAAATATGGAGAAAAACAATTAGGAATGGAGCAATTATACAATCTCTTTATTTCAAATAAGCCATAAGATTTATAGCAGCAGGAATAGAAAGCCAATTCTGTATGTGGAGCTAAAGTTTATAATGATGAGTTGAGTTTTAAATGTTTTGATTGCTCTACCGATTTTAATCATATGATTTGTATCAAATGTTTTGATATTAAAAAACACATAAGTATTATGTATGATGATATCTTAGATCATAAGTTTTTGCTCAAGAATGGTGCTGGATGTTGTGACTGTGGAGATGATAGTACTCTTAAATTAGGAATTTGCAATGACCACCAAGGCCATTCTATTATAAATAAATAGAAAATTCTTCAATAAATACCTCCAACAATCAGAGGAAACACTGAAAATTTTATAAGATGTCTTAATAATCTCTTAAATTTACTATACGTTGAACTTAAACCTATATCTACGATTAATCCATACTATATTAAGATTTATCATATTGCAACTAAGTGGAAATTAAGAAAAATAATGGATGTGCTCTTGCTCTAAGACTACTATCGAAGTTTCTGCAAAGCACTTTATTTTCACAATCTCTTGATTAAATTTATAGCTTGGTTTATTTAAGTGAATCATTAGAATCTCTTTTTAATCACTCATATCTTATCGTAAACAGATCTGAATTCTAACTAATTAATTTTACAAAATCTTTTTGAAAGATAATTAACTTTAGAATCTTTAGGACCTTATTAAGGAGAAAAAATAGAATCAATTTTTTATGCTTTTCATGCTGATCATGAATTCAAAAGGCTAGTACATATTACTTTTTTGAAGAATTATCATAATTTTCGATCATTTTTATGCCTAAATTATGAGGCCTTTTTTCTTTTAAAAAGAATTTATGAAGATTTACACAGATATGATTAAACATACAATAACATGGGTCTTTAATAAATGGAGGATCAAGCTTCTGAAGAGATTGTAGAAGCTCAATTTGAATAGTCAGAGAAATATTTAACTTATTAGGCATTCACCATTTTTATAGGTCATCACTCGTAATTTTTTACTTAGGAAATGATAGAAGCCCTGTTTCAACCTAACATTAGTTCTCCTTTTATATAAATCTTAACTGAGAGTCAAGAACTATATTATTAAAATATGAATTTTGTTTAAGATTTTTCCCTTTTGCATTTAGCTATATTATCATTTAGGGTTGAATTTACATTTTTTAAATAAGTCCTTATGAAATGCTTTAAAATAATATTAGACGATAAATTTGATTCTTTTTAAAAGAAGTTAATTTCTAAAGATGATTATGAGGATTTTTAATCAAGATAATATTTCTTGACCTAATTGCTTCATTCGTTTAATAACGTTAAAAGGTAGAACAGGAGGTACGAATTAGATAATCTTGTTGTTTAACAGAATGATATATATAATGCTGCACTCATTATCAATTTTTAATCAAGTTAACTTAAACTATTTAACAAAATGCTAAAAGATTTAAGAAGTTTAATGCCCGAACTGATCGGAAAAAGAAATCTAACAAGAATATATTTATATTAGTGTTATTTGAAATTAAACCAAGATATATAGAATATTGGAAATTACTTTGATTAAATAGATTATTTTTATTCATTTTACATAGATTATGAAATCACTATCTAAGATCAAGAAGAAATATGCGAAGCGTATAATCTATTAAGCCTAAAACTTTTGAAGAGACCAATTTTTACAAATCTAATATTTGTCGAATTGCTAATTCTCGAATACTTTGAAGGCAAATTTATTGACAAAGAAGATTATCTTAAATATTTGATGGAAGTTCTCAGAATAAAAAACTTGAAAGATTTAAAGCCTCTCTTTAATCATTTATTAATTGATTCTCTTTAGAATTTGATTGCTCATAATTTTGACTAGAAAAAAAGGTTATAATAAGAATAGTAAAGAATTAAATGCAATTCAAATGAAATGGAATCTGTTGATCTTGCTTTCATAAAATTCTATCTATTCTTATTTGAACTAGATGGTTTATTGTTTTTTGAGGTTACATTTTAAAAATTTAGAATCCCTAAGAAAATGATTGCATCTGAAATTTATAAGTAATTATCTTAATTAATTTTAGTTCAATATTGCTAAGCATAATATCATCAGAAATAGAATTTTGGAATGTATTATAAATGGTCGAAGAAACAACAGATCCCTATCCTCAATAGCTTAAATCTACAATTCAACATGTTATAATAAATTTATTTAATTAATCAGCTAGTTTGAGCTTTGATGAAATAAAGAATCAGATACAATAATTAAAAATAACAACTAATTAACCAATAGAAAATTTTGTTTAAGAAGTATGTTAATTAGATTTAATATCAAAAAGGTTTACTTTAAAAAAAGGGATTTAATTGTATTTTGATCCAATATTATTTACAAAAAATAATGCAGTTAAAGGACATATTTTAGAAAGATTGATTGATCAAAAGAAATCATAAGGATTTATGAACTTTGGAAATTATATACAATAGAAAGCAGATGCGATCGTTAAGCAAATTTCATCAAATACCGATTCAATATTTTTTGACATTTTTCACCTACTTGCTAATGAATCTTTTATTAAATATTTGATTTAGGATATAGAATAGAATTAATAATAAAAATTATAAGCTTTTTAATTACTAAATTATTTGATTATCATTTTATCTAAATAATAAAATAAGGTTGATGAAGAACTAGTTGAAATTATATAACAGCTTGCCTAATAATATAAATAGAATAATTAAAAATGTGCAGAATATCTCTATCAGATCATTGATAATTTAAATTCATTATTTAAAATAGGGTCAAACTCTTTACAATAAATAACTAGTTAAACGTTGATTTCAGATAAATCCAAGATGAAAAACAAATATCTTTAGAAATAGTCTAAATTTAACGAATAACTAGAAATCAATCTTCATTTAGGATTACCATATGAAAAATAAGATGAAAATGATTGCTGCTAATCGTGTAAATTAATTATAAGGAAAGATGATAGATACATTCCAATATTAATTTCAACATTTGCAAAGTAAAACATATATGAGACTATGCCAACAGAATTATACAAAATGTTAAAGGCTGAGAATTTGAATCTGTTAAACATATCAAGTTGCAAACATTAGTTTCATTTTGAATGCTTAAAAGACTCATTTATAAATAAATTCAATTACGAATTTCCATTATGGTTGATATCTAATTGCCCTACTTGTTAATAGAGTTGCAACCTATTATTTCCTATTTCTTAACTTGAAGTTCATTTTGATTAATTCATTTAAGAATTAGAGGCAATTTTAATTGAAATAAATTTAGATTTATTATCATTAAAAAATATAGATATAGATGAGTTAATGTTATTTGATATGTTTTATTAGTTGCTTATTAATATTTTAATCTAAATGCTATAATAAAAGGCAGACTTTTAGAGATCTGGCAAAGTTTAGATTTTTAAGCAATTTATTAGGATTTTAAAGCATCATTATAAAAACATCAAATATAAGTAGAATATACTGAATTTTAAGAAAGGATAAATATTTATATTGGATATCATGATGTTAATCGAGAATTAAATAATGGGAAGAATTAATAAAAGTGAATTCGAATAAGAAATTTCAGATATATTGTTATCATTGCCAATGCAAAATGATAACATTGTTGAAACATTAATTGACTGTTTCGAAATAAAATTTAATGAGAAACTATTTTATAGTGAAAAAAAAAAAATATAGTCAAGGTGTATTCCAGATTTCTATTAAACTTAAAATGAAATATCAAATTAAATAGCTATATATTTAGGAAATAATTTTGAAATTTTTAGACATAGATATATTAAGAAATTATGCAAAAAGTGTGGCTTTTTTGCAAAAAAGTAGAATAAAGGCTAAGATATTGTTGTATGTTTACTTTGCTTACAAACATTGTGTTTAGGTTCATGTGAGAATAATTAAATTGGCAACTTAAGTATTCATGCTAAAGAGGAGCATAACTGTCATTCAATCTATGTTTGCTTGAGCTCTGGGAATGTTGTAATAACATCTTATCCAATATCTTATGCTAATTGTTTTACTTTATTTTATAACAACTTAGGTCAAGAATTAAAAGAACTTACACATACTAATCTAGATTGGGATAAATATAAATTAGATATGGGAAAAGTAGAATAAATTTCTAAGATTATCTTATATAATTAATATCAACAAATTATAAGAAATGCATCAAATGATCAAGACAGAATCAGAGAGAATATTAGAAGAGATTTATGAATACTATGAATAATATTTTTATTTAATAATTAGATAAATTTTATAATAATATTAAAATTCTATACTTTATTTAAATTTATTGAGAAATATTATTTTTTTAAATGAATAGAATAAAATTGTGTTATAATTTATGACCATTTTTTTATTCAACAACATATCTTTCCTCCTGGAATTTGCAGGTGTCTTCTTGGTTTTAATGTAGTTTTAAAGTGTTCACTTGTAAACATATTCAAATAAACTTGATTAGCTAGCCATTGCTTAATTGAACCGGTGTCATAAAACTCTAAGTTTATTTAAGATTAATTTAACCTCTAATTGGTTAAAGAATTTTTAGGATGAATCAATGTCTCCATAAAAAAATCGATTTTCAAACCTTATGAAAAAGGTTTATTCAGGTTATAAGAAATCATCGAAGCTATACTTATTAATATACTTGCATTTTCATAATTAACTTAATATAATTAAAAACCATTTGCAGTTGATTTAAATACCAAATTAAGAAAAATAGAATAAAATTATAAGTTGGCCTTAAAATTTTGTAATTATTTAAAAAAAACACTAATAAAATTAATGAACAATTATCCAAATACACAAATAATGTCATGTTTGTTGAGTACATAAATTGTGTTAACCCTGAATAGTTTTTATAGTTTCTTAAATAAATCTCTTTTTATATAATTTTTCAAGATTATTATAACAGATATATGTGATAATCGATAAAAAAATCGATATGTAATAATTTGTAAGTAAGTGGAGAAATGATTGCTCCATTTAAAGGCATCATAGAAGAGAGATAATAATTATATATAATTTCGTTTGTTTAATTTAAGAACGAGCTTAGCTTCCGGAATAGGAGCCTCGCCCGCAACCTATTAAATAGGTTTAAACTTGGATAGGTTTTGTTTCAATTTGAATTGAACCCAGTGATGGATTAAGTTTTATAAGCAATACTTTTCTCTATAAATATTAAATATTTAATTTCAAAATTATGGGTTTATAAATAATATAATTAAAATCAACAGCTAGTTTTAAGATTAAATTATTTTCTATATTTTACTCAATCCCAGTAAATATTCAATTAAATGGATATCCAACATAAATTTTCAAGTATTTTTCTCAAACAATTTAGACAGAATACCTAAAGATGAAAGTTTGTTTTGATTGCCAATATTCTTTTTGGTTGATTATAGGTTTCTATATACCTTGGCGAACAATTAGTATTTTAATTGAATATAATTTTTGCCGTAATTGGCTATAACAAGTCTCCTATTGATTAAATTTAGAACATTAAAATACTTGATTATTATTAGTCAATTATAATTATCGGTGAATGATTATATTTCATTTGTTATAAATATGTGAATAAGTAAGATTAATTGCTATTCCTTATTTCATCTTGTATAATTTTTATAATCAAGAATATTAAATAAAATTAATAATTAAAACTACGCTTATTAATTTTCACTCCATCTAGGATATTATTAAAAATGTTAAATATATTTAAGAATGCATTCTCCAAGAAACAGAAACAAGATTCTCAAATTATTCAATTTGAATAGTTTGATCAACATTAATTGGAAGAACCTGAAGTAGATAATCACTTACCTTTTGATTTTTAAATCATTGATGAAGAAGCAATGAAAATTATTGAATAAGAGTATGATAATAAATAGCAGGATCAACCATTAAACTTAGAAGAGCAATAATTTGAAGAAGATCTTATTGATTATGAAGTGAAAGTTAATGATTCATTATATGGAATGGCAATCAAATTTAATGTTTGTGAAGACTACATCATGAGAATCAATAATTTATCAAGTGATTTAATATTCCAAGGTTAAATCATAAAAATACCCAAGAAGGATGAGAAGACATTTCCATTTGTTCACATTCAAGAATAAAAGGAATAATTAGAGTATTTATGGAATCCTGAGGCTAAATCATTAAGATGTAATTTTGATCATAATTATTACTAGTTGATGTAATGTATTGTAATAATATATAAAATGTCTAAGGATAATTGAATCTGGCATCTGACTTAATCCTTTTTAATCCAATTCAATAAGATCATCTAGAAGATAGTCATTAGAAATTAAGATTCCAGGCTTGTATCTCAATGAGTGATATAAATGAAGCAGTTTATTACGTTTTACCTAATAAATATGGCCATTTAGATTATATTGTGCAAATAATGCTATCAGGGATAGGCAAGCCAAAATTTGAGAAGAAACACAGAAAACAATAAGTCACGCTTAAAGAGTAAAAACAAACCATTGCTACAGTGTTTTTTAGAGTAAGGAATTTTAAAATTACAAAATTAGCATGCTGAAAGAGACTATGTAGGGAAGTTGTATGCGGAAGAAATCAAAAAGGAAAATTGCATTACCATGGCCAGATTTATCACTGAAGCCTGTTCAAATTATACAGGAGTTGTAGAATTAACTCAATTGCCATTTGTAGATTTCATTTAGGATCCTGCTTAAAAATAGAATTTAAATGTGGATTTAGATGAAATCTAAGATGTTATTGGACAGCCTATGGGCAGTAAATTCATTAAAAATTAATAGATTTATGGGCTAGTTTGGAATATGTTCCAATTTTGAAAGGAAACTCCAATTGCTTTACTAATACAACGTTTAAATATGTCATCTAATCTATACCTGCTATATATAGATTAGCTAATTGGAGTAAGCTTTACGATATTGATATTGATGGATCCAGTTATCATAATATGCTTCAGTAAATTAGATAAATATTCCCCATGTTATTAATAATCAAAGATTTTGATCTTAATATTTTTGGTGTTTACATTTCAAGTGAAATTCATAAGTACTCCCAAGGTTTTAATGGCAATGGTGAAACCTTTTTATTCAATGTCGATTCAAGAGTATAATGATAATTATATTATTTAAGCAAGATGAAATTGTGACATTTGTTTGGACTGAAAAAAATAGAGATTTTGTATTTTGCGATGAATCTGGTATAGGAATAGGATGTGGAGATAAATTTGGGCTCTTTATAGATTAAAGTCTTTCATTTGGATATTCTAACCCTTGTTCGACTTTTGACAACCCAAGATTATCTAATGAAGAGAAATTTGGAATAATGCATATGGAAGTATGGGCTATTGAGCAATAATGAGAGATAATACTATGTTATATGGTTAATCTTTAATAATTTTCTCTCAGATTATCCTTGTAATATGATTGGAAAAGATATAATAAGAAAGTTTAAATTATAATAGAATTCTGTATCTAAATGTTACTTATAGAAAAACTAATTAATTATCATTATTATCAAGAATTGGTTATTAAGTAAATCCAACAATATTGCATTTAATAATTATTTCACAAATTTCTCTCATAATTTATTATTTAAAAGTATTATAGTATTACTTTGATAAATTTAAGGACTTATTTTATTCTTAGTATCATTTATTAATTATGTTCTAATCCTTTAATTTAACCAAAAAACTTCAAATCAACGATGACTCCCCTCAGACTTGCAGAACCTTTAGAGAATTTTATCATTCTTAAAGAAATATTATCATACCATCCCATTTTCAAAAACTTAAACTAAAACCAATCTAAGACTCGCAAAGACAAACCTACACCTACAATAATCAAAAGCGATCTTCATTGAAATATAACAATTTGTTCGCTTTCAATGACCAGGCGGATTTGCTGAGTTAAGAGCGATAAAGACAAGGAAGGAAATAGGTTAGTTTTAGTGATAAGGTTCTAATCATAGAACCTAAGAGAGGCATAATGATTAGAGAAAGAATCCCTGAATTGTCAGAGCATATAAATATCATTAGAACTAGAAAAAGAAAAAACTGCATTTTAATTCACAATCATATTAGAACATTAGAAACTTGCTAATCCACTTTCATTGATTAGCTTTGAACTCTTATTATAATATTTTCAATGTGGATATAAATATTAATTTTATTAAAAATAAAATGGCTCAAGATTAGAGATCTCCTTTTGAATTGAGAATTTGGCATTTCTACACTGAGGAAGAGAAATCCATTACACTACTTAATGCTTACAAACAAAGAGTATTGTTCTCAGAAGATATCAAATCTTTCCTTCTCAGGGATAGATTAAATACTTGGTCCTATTGGGGATTCCCCGTTGCATGTTATGCACTCTTTCACTACACTGGAGCATTATAACCATACATCGCAACAAAATACTCAGTAGGCGCCTAAAGATTGATTCCTGCAGCAATATCTGGATTACTTTGGCTTGGTTGGGTCCATTTCAATCCATTCTACACTTCTTTACAAAGGTAACACAATTCCTCATTACTCTCTTAGTGAAAAGTTGAATTTGCTTAATTTGATTGAGAGAAGAGTAGGTTTGAATATGAAGGCACTCAATGAGCAAGTACCTCGTACTTGGACAGCATAAGAGATTCACAGATAAATCAGAGAAGCCTATAACAATAGACATGGATTTTTCACAAACATACTATATCCAAGTGAGGAAAGAGCTTCCCCATTGTAGGATATTTCATCATATCCATTCAAATACAGAAGAGATAGAATTGTTAAATGATAAATCCCAATATATCATTTAGAATAAAATCATATTAAATTCCATTATTTTTAACTTATCCATACTCTTAGTATGCAGAAGTTCAATCAGAGAAGTTAATATAAAAGAATTCTTAAAGTAATTAATAAGATTATTATTATAATGAATTGTCATGCATATTCATTTTTTAATTTGAGTTTCTATTCAGTCTATGACAATAAGTTAAATTCTTTTTGATTATTTCTGAGTGTTTGCAATTTTCGAGCCTTCTCCCTTTCCTGTATAATTAATTATTTTCGGTTATGCTAAAACAATCAATACTGACTCTTACTTCATTGTATTAAGCCCACATCTTTTCGTCCTCTTTTTCTTGTTATCTTTTCTACTCATTTTGTTCTCTCTATTTGGCTTGATCATTCCTTATTTCTTATCTCTATTGTTCTGACATGCCTTTATAATGATAAGGTATCACTCTATGAGGAGCTAAAGCACTTTGACAAGTAGCAGTACTAGTATAAGGTTTTAGAATTACTTCTCAGTCCAAACATCATTGTTCAAAATCTCTTCCATGTGTTATTTCTTTTCGAGTTGAGCCTGTCTCGCCATATACTCCTCTCTATCCTATTTCTCTTTTGCCAATTGATTATTGATTTGTTAATTGGCAATTTCCATTTCGACTCTCCTCCTCTATTACTCCTCCTCCAACTCCTTTAAACTCTAATTAATCTATAATGTCTGCTGATCGTATTATTATTATATCTATTTATTCAATTGCTTTTTCTGTTGATTCTCTTGTGTTTATTATTATACCCAGTCCTTCATTTACAGTTACTGCAACTTTCTCCTGTCTCCAGCAGCTAAGAGAGCATATACATAAATTAATACTTAAGTCTTCTCCATCGAGCATTTTTAGATTGGAAACACCAACTTGATTTTTCATTTGTGCGTGATTGTAAGTTGGATTTTGATAATGACTCATTAAATTTAATATACTTTATATTTTAATATTCAAGCGTTATATACTCCAATTACAATAGCGTGATCTCTTTCATATGGTTCTAGAGTGAGTTATTCTTAAGGTGTAAGTCCTTCATCCTAGAATATACATTAAACTATACCTTAAGACGTTACACTTCATGTTGAAAAACAACTTCAGCACGATTGGTAGAATCAATACAGTTGGCTTTGATGGAGATCATGAAATGGCCGCCCTTCTTAAGGAAATATTGAGAGTTCAATCCCACAATTCTGGCCTAATCAGGTTGTGCAACATCTGCAAACACAACATCCACCATTCCTACGAGCATTCTGTACTCCAATGGCTTTCTTGCATCAGCTATGATAGGCACTATGTTTGTTCTTTTCTTTGCCATATTTACTAGATCTCTTCCAGATCTGTGAGAGAATTCCACTGCATAAACCACGCCTAAAAAGTCATCACTATTAAATATACCTTCTGCTCCTACCACATCTGAAACATGGGATACTGTTGTTCCTGATGCAGCTCCCAAATATAATACTTTGGCACCTGGCTTTATGAAGATGTCGCTAACACCACCAATAATACCAGCAGCAATCTTAGATCTGAATGGGTTCCAAACTCTATATTCTACTTTCTCTCCAGTTTGTTTGTCTTCCACTGAAATTCTCTTTTCATTATACACTGATTCTCCAGGCACCATGTTCTTTGTCACCAAAGCTTCTTGTTATCCTTTGGCTACGAAAACTCCTGCCAATCTTGGATGTGGAACCACAAAAGCCTTAGGAGCTCCTCCCATTCGGCCTCCACGACCTCCTCTGCCTCCTCGGTCACCACCCCTACCTCTTGGGGCTCCTCTGCCTCGGTCTCCTCCTCGACCGCCTCCTCTTCCGTCACCTCTTCCACCTCTGAAGTCTTTACCCATAAATTATATTTTTAATATATTTAATTAGCAATAACAAGAGATAATTGCTACTTTCTTTAGTTTACCTCTATAACTTAACTAACATTAAAAACAGCTCTTCTACATTTAGATCATCCCTTAGATCACCTCAACACTCTTGTAATACTATCAGGATTGAAAGTTCTAATCAGTTCATCTATTTATGGAAAGTGAATTATTAAATTAATTGGTATACTATACTATCTTCTTTTCTAATTTGTTAACTTATGCACATGGCATGAGAGAGGAAAGGTAATTATAGCTTTTGTTTCAATATTATAACATTTTTATTTTAAGTTTTTATATAATAAATATTATAGTAATGAAGCGGAACAATTTGCCTCATTATATCTGGGATTGTTTTATAAATTTTAACTTGATTGAAATAAAATCTCTTTAATTAAATATTTACACATATAGTTTCATTATTATAGACAAGCATAATTAAATTATGAATTTTTTTACTTAATTATAATAATTTATAATTATAATCCCTTCCTCTAAAAGATTTTGATTCAGTTACCACTATTTCTTTATGTCTAAGCTAATAGATATAAATAATTATTTCTTTTAAAATTTTTTAATATTTCATCTATGTTTATTACCAAATTAGAATGTCTATATTTACCAAAATATCCCTTTTAACAAATTTTAATCAGACTGATTTTTAATACTTTATTTATGCGTTGCTTTATGGAGGAGTATTTCTAGGGAAATTCAGATACAAAAGGTTACCAGTATTTAATGCAACTTAAATTTAATATATTGAATTAATAATATTATGGGTTTGTGCTAGTCAAATAGGAATTCAAGGAAATCTTTTGCTGCCAAGAAGTTACACACTTAAAGCGACACAAATATTCAAAATAAATCAAAAGGGAAAGAAACACCAATACGACCTAAAACATAGCCTACTTTGAACACAATTCTAAAAGACCATTTCTCGACCATAAAAACTCCCATTGCAATCGGAACTAGCAAAAGGATGATTAAGGAAGCATTAGCCAAAACTTATTCTGTTCTCAATTAGGATTTTGGGTATCCAAGTAAGCTCATTTAATTTATTCAGATTATGACAATGTGGGTATAATACAACATAATGTCACAGGATAGGTTAGAACTGCGAAGACTATTCTAAAAGAAGATGAATCAATTAATGACATGGATTAATACATTAATAATATTAGAGAAAATAACTTAGTAATTCTATTTATATTATAAGAGTCTTCCCCACATTTTAATAATGCAATTGAGCTGTTTGAAGATTTTAAATGCTACTATGTGATTCAATAATACTGTAGTGGCGGTAAGCTTAACAATTTATGCGGTAAAATTGAAGAGGACAACGCTATTTATATTATATCTTAAATTTTAGATACTCTCAAAGAGATTCATAGTTTAAATAATTATCATGGAAATTTAAGCATTCAAAGCTTTGCTCTCTAAGATTAATCAAATAATCATTATGTCAAACTGATAGATATATATCCTGTATTTTAAGTTAAGGAGAAATATGATGTTTAAAGGAATCAACTAAACGACATGAAGGCAGTTGGACTTATTTTATTTCAATTGATTACTAATAAACCAATAACAAAATAAACAGCTGAAATGATCTTAAAGAAACCAAAAGATTTATAATATAGACATTCCTTTTGGTTTTTATTAGTAATTCAATTTCTAGAAATAAAAAATCTCTCAATTTATGATAATTTGTTGTAGAACTCAAATTACTAAAAAATTATAAAGAAATACTAATCTCAATATGCTGAATCGATATTTTCAAAGATACAGGTGAAAAAGGCCTCGTATCTTTAACAATAAATAATATTAGTCATGAATAAGATGTTTTTTTAAGAAAGGTAAAATCAAATCTAAAGGATATTTTTGAAGAATGATACCAATCATAATGGTACCTTGTAAAAGGAAGAATTGAAAAATGCCTTAGGATATGAGGAAGACATAGATGAAATATTCGATTAAATTGATATTGATGGAAATGGAAAAATAGATATGAATGAATTCATTTTTACTTCGTGTGATAGAGCAGCTTTGCTAAATGAATTCAATTTGAATATTGCATTTTATGAATTGTAAAGAAAAGGATTTGTTATTACCTCTTAATTTTCTAAATATATAAGTTGTGATGAAGATAAAATTGAAAGTGAAATTGCAAGCAAATTTAATTCTAAAAAAGTAATCATTCAACATATTCTTAGTTAAATAAGCAAGATTTCATTAAGTTGATGATGGAGCTTCTCTGAATTATCTTATTATTTTAAATAATTTAATATAAAATATTAACTCGAATAATTTGTAATTAGCTATTAAGCTATTAATGGCATTCATATATCCGTAATGAATCTAAATTTTGATCATCTCCAATTCTATGAGTGCATCAAAAGGGTATTTTTATTGTATTTTCCAGTTTAAAATTCATATTTCCTATAATTCCTATGAATCTAAACAATTATCAAGAAATTGATATAATAGAATTAGAATATTTACTAAATAATAAAGCTATTTTAATATTACATAATGAAATCACAAATAAACTATCCCGTAAGACCAAATAGTTCCAATTTAGAGTAACAGACATAAAGTTAACATAATGTGAGGTAGAATGGGCAATTTTTACAAACTCTGAAAAGCCTTCATAAACAAATAGAAGAACTGAAAGATAATTAATAGAATGTGTCTCAAAGTCTGGTGAGTAATTTCACTAATATAAATAAAAAAATAGATGCTATGGAAACCTTGATTAATGAATTAACTAATCAGCCTTTTAAATCTACTATGGATATTCCTAAAAATGTAGGTATTGGTATCGGGCTTTTGAAATCATAATCCGCAAATACAAATAGTACTAGAAGACCTAAAATTACTGAAATTATTTAGGATTAGAAACAGAATTAAGTAGAATAATCCTTTTCTTTTTAAAAGGCTGAGAATAGTTAATAAATATATGCTGATAACAATAAAAGTCTAGTAGAAAGCAAGCAAATTAAATTTATTTATTCGGCTGTAAAAAGCTCTTAATCAATATCCAACGAATTTAGATAATAAAATATGTAACTTAATAAGAATGTGAAACTAAATTAGAATCAATATAAATAATGCGATTTATGTAAAGGAAAATTTATTGATTTAATTGAGACTCCTTGCCATCATTTCCTTGATAAAAAATGCTTAAAAGCATAATTTGATTAATAATTAATGAATTATGATCAGATCTAAAAATTTTATTGCATCTGCAAAAAAGAATTATATTTAAACTTCATTATAAAACATTTATAATTAGATGGAGAAAAATGGTTCCAAAAATAAATAAACATTATTTATCAAAAATATTAGCCAAGATTTAAATAATGTAAATATTGTAAAATATTTTGGATTTATGATCTTTATCAGAAAACTAAGGATAGTTGTTTCCATTGTGGATAAATTTGTTAAGCCTGAATTTATAAGTTATATTAAATTTTACATATGCTCTTGAATCTCTAACTATATTACATTATTAAAATATTATCAGATTAATAAATTTTGAATAGGATTAGATAGTAAATAAATTTTGAAATACCATATTTATAAAGATATTGGATGAATTCTATTATATGTAAAATATTCATCATAACTTTAATACTAAATATTTTTGTTTATAAGTAAAATAGCTAAAAAATTATATGAAATTTCTCACTTTTCTTTACACATACAATATTTTATGGGATAATGATTTTTTTAAGTAGAATTGCAAACCCAAAAGAAGTTACAACCACGACAAGTTTAGAGTTTTTCTTTATATTTATTAAAAATAAATTCTAATTATTTTAAGAGTAATTTTTCTTTACAATTTTTATAAAAAGAAGCATCAATATTTGGAATTCTTGGAATTTTTTATTTACATATGCAAGATAGCTATTAATGTTATAAAAATCCATCGATTTGCATAATAATTAATTCTTACAAACAACTTATGTGAAAAACATGCTAGCAATTTAAAAAAAATTAAGTTCCTTTAATACTTTATTAGCACTTAAAGCAACTAATTTACATAATCTAAACTGCAGATTCAAAAATATTAATTTCTTATTCTTATTCTTGATTTAATTATGAGTCTTTATTCATTTATGAGTTTTGGAGTATTTATGAGTTTCTAAGTACTTATGACTCTTTATTCATCTATGGGTATTGATTCATTTATGAGTTATTATTTATTTATAAGCATTAATCTGGATTTGAGCATTATTATTGATTTATTTGTGAGGCTTATTTTTTAGTATTATTTGGTTATACAAAATAAGTAAATTGTTAAGATGGAATCTATTGTTATAATTTACTATTTTGATTTTAATGAGGGAGTATAATGTTCTAATCATTCTGGATTGGTGCTTTATATTCTGAAATACTTCTAATACTGAATCGCTATTAATTATTCTCTTCTCTAGTTCGCGTAGGGAAGTTTTATTTATGAGAAGGTTCATAAACTTTCTCAAATAGTTATTGAAATTGTTGTGGGTTATACTGTACACTTTTATTTTAGTATCTATCTTAGTTATCTTTTACAATATTTTCTATTATAATTATTAATCTATATACTTACATTATTGGAAAAGACTAGGGGATAATCTACCAAAATCCCCTAATTTGAGTTGAGCTTTAGGATTCTTTAAATTTTATTATTAGAGTGATAATTTTTGACAATAATTTCCTATTACAGGCCTTTATCCACTAGAAGTAGAGGTTTGATTCAAATTTTATTATTATTCAATTATTTTTATTTTCGGGTTAGGCACATAGGGGTTTTAATCCTAGTAGGCAGATTTTGATCTTAATTTTTGTTCGAAAGATGTATTCATGATTTTATTAATTAATATTCTCTAGATATTTCTTGATTATTTATACTTAGAATACCAAAAATTTATTAATAGATATGATATTGCCATTATTCCACCTTCTGCTAATTTAAGGTTTCCTAAACAGGTAGATAAAAAGAGTTAATATTTTTTAAAGAAATTCTACAAACGAAATATATGTAATTATTAAAAATTTGGATTTATTAATAGGATTTCCAATAAGAATAGTGATGTACAAGTCGTTTTATCTTTTATAAAGATTTAAAATATAACTAATTTGATTTAGAATAACAATACTATTGATAAAACAACCCTCTATTTCTTTATCTCTCCTATGTATTATTCCTCCAATACTCCAAATAAAGAACCTCTATCTGAATAAGTAACTAATAATTGATTGTTACGATATTTAACCGTAATAACAATTAAAAAATGAGGTATAAATTGAGTATCAAAGGGAGTAATGTAGTTTCTATCAGATACTCCAAATAGATGGTTGCAGAGTACTATTTTTGAGAAAGAGAAAGATGATTTAAGAATATAATTAAGTAAATAAATTCTTTTTAAGTCAAATAAATTATTCATGGTCAAACGTCTGATAATTAAGTTAATAGTTGAGGTCAGTTCCACTGTAGCGAAGTCATTTATGAAGGCCTATTAATAGAGTGCAAAATGTATGAAGTTAGCAATTAGATTAGAATAAGGAGGAAAGGCAGGAAATCCATTTACAGAGTTTCTCAATCAAACGATGCAAGCTGCAAATCTGACTCATAAACCTATGACAAGGGAAGAAGCCTTTAAAATATTGCAATTAGTTCCGGAGAAGGCAAGTCCAGAGGAAATTATCAGAGTATAAGGAAGGATTATAATTTAAAGGTTTATTGGAGATAGTTCCATAAGAATGATCCAGTGAAGGGAGGGTCATTTTACCTTCAATCGATGCTACACAATGCAAAATGCGAGTTGATGAAGGACTTTGGAGATGTGAATGAGAAGGAAATCTTGGACAAGATTAAGAAGGAAGGTGAGAGCTAGAAGGGAGATGAGGAAGGGAAGAAGGACGAAGCAAAGGTGGAGGAGAAGAACGAAGAAAAGAAGGAAAATTGAATTCTTAAGTACTTATTTTGAGGATTGAAATTGATATATAAATTTAATTATGCTATAGAGATTGTCTGCAGTAATAAGAAGACCAATGTTCTGGCATGGCACACATCATCATGATAGCAATGATGCTACAAAGAGATTGTTTGACACTGTTTCAAGTACAGTAAAGGGCATTCAATAAATAAACTATGTGGTGGAACATGATCCAAAACTAACAGCGGAAGAGAAGTCTAAAATGAAGCAATTTTTGATTTACAGATACGATCCAGCTGTACGATTCAATGTATTGATTTTAGGACGAAAATGACTTCCCAAAATACGTGAGTTACTATGTGGACTTGAAGAAGATACCCCCTATGTATTTGGATGCATTATTGTACATCAAAGACAATTATGATTCATCTCTCTCCCTCCGTCGTTCATGCAGAGAGGGTATCTGTGGATCATGTTCTATGAACTGCAATGGTCTCCATAAGTTGGCATGCATCCATGCAATCGACACTGATTTGACTTAGCCAGCCTACATCACTCCTCTAGGTCACATGTTCGTTGTGAAAGACCTTGTTGTTGACATGACCAACTTCTATACTCAATACAAAACCATCGACCCATATCTGAAGAGAAAGACTCCAAAGGTATGAAAATCTAATTTTATCATCTCAGGAAGGAAACAAGGAATACATCCAATCAGTCGAAGACAGAAAACTACTAGATGGTCTCTATGAATGTGTGTTGTGTGCATGCTGTTCCACCTCATGTCCATCTTACTGGTGGCATCCAGATAGATATCTCGGTCCAGCTGTCCTTATGCAAGCCTACAGATGGATTGTGGATTCTAGAGATGAGTATACAGACGAGAGATTGGAAAAATTGGGTATCTTTATCTCTCTATATATCTTATAGCTGAGGATGTTAAGGTAGAGGATTGCTAAAATATTGGAATGTGTTCTTTCACATGTCCAAAGGGACTCGATCCATAAAGATCTATGAATCACTTAATGAAATTGATAGAAGAATATAAGGAAAGAAAGATTGCATCTGCAACATTATGACATTATCATAACATAAATAAAAATATCATAGAATACTTGTTTATTAAGTGGTTCTATAATCACTAATCTTTGATCTGCATTTTGGGCAACTAAAATTTAACATTAGCCAAGCCTTTATACAATGCAGATGAAAATGATGTTATTAGTTGCAAGGCAGGACCAACAATTCTTCATTTCTACTGTACACTTGTAAGCAAATTCCGCATTCTTGATCACCTTATACATTTTCACAATGATAAATCACTTTTGCATTTAATATAAGTTCTCTCAAAATTTACTGATTTGCGTAACTCTACTTTTATTACTTCACTTTCTTCCATAATGTCATTAACAGAATGAATGGTAATGATATCAATACTATTAAGCATATCATGTACAGTTCCCAATATTGATACACTGATAATACGACGAATATCACCTAAAAAGTGACCAAATTTCTGTAGCAATTATCTATGGGTTCCATTTTGGCTTAGATACATATTGCCCAAATTATGAGTATTTGATTGGTCAAGGCATTGAAGATTTGCACATAACGAATGGTTCTGTTTCTTAATGAAACTTCAGATTTGATTTGTTCTGTAAGGATGATTTATCTTCTCTCTATATCGTCTAAACTCGAATAGGAATACGAGTCTTGATTCGAGGGTGCTACGAATTCAAAAAGTTGATTTCCTTGAGATTAGGGTAGAGAATGCCCTTCCTCTAATATTATTGCATGATTTAAATTTTCTGCTATTTCTATTACAACTCCCTAGAATGCTTATTTACATTACTATGTCATTCAAAAATTGATATAATTTGGTGTAATAGAAATATCCTACAATCGAATGCAGTGTCAATATTACCAACCATTACATAATATTAGCGGATTAACAATCCAAACTAAAGCTTAAAATCAAAGCTATTACGAATTTCAAAGTACTATAAAACCTATTCAAGAATATGAATTGTTTTGCATTTTACAAGCACTTATAAAATGTAAATGTAAATCTCCTATTTATTAACATATTAATATAATAAATTAAGCTGATTTCTGTTTTCATTTTAAGGACTAGTATCTTAGATATCTATCTATAAGATCAGATTAGAAGGGCTTGATAATTATCATCTAGACAATATTTATAAGAAATAGGCAAGACTTATTGATGATCATATTAATTATTTTATTGAATATAAATCACTATTATAATTATTGTTATTATTGTTATTCAGGCTCTTCTTCAGGTGGTATTTACTCAATAAAGGGGCAAATCTCTTACCAAATTCTTATCATTCCATTGGAACCTAAATTTGATTTTAATTTTACTTGCAGTAATGAGCAGTCTACCAACAATAAAGACTCCTCTAATTTCTTCTTTGGTCAATTCATATGTCTTGATTAGCAATCCTTTATCAAAATTCCAGATGCTTAATCTACCATCTGAACCGCCAGTAATAAGATGTTTACAATAGAGCAAGCTGCATAAGATGGATCCTGTGTGACCATCCTTTAATGTTCTAAATGATACAATAATTGATTATTTTACTTCAATTTGGTTCCTTGATCGACATTCATTAGGTCACTCACTTTATCCATGCCTCCTACAAACAATTGATTGTTGCTAACCATGTACAAATGTTACACTTTAACTGTAGTAACTGTTCTTAAAGTCTTCAATATAATCTTTGGACCTGTTTTTTCCTATATATAGCAATCATCAAATATACTCTTTTGTATGTTTTGACTCTGCCATCTGGGAACCCTGCTGCAAACACATCTTTATTATAAGCAACCAATGATATCACAAATGTTCTGTCTACTGGTTCCACATGTTCCAATGCACTTGATACAAAATTGACCAGTTGAATCTTTCTGTCCTCTGATGCAGTCACAATACTACCGTCAACATAGACAATGGAATAGACTCCCTTTTCATGATGTTTGAATTTGATGTCCATTTACCAAATGCCATCGTGTTATTTCCATCCAATTACAGTACCTTCCTTGTTACCGGCCAACAACATTCCATTGTGTACATAAACGCTTAAGATTTCAGCTTCATGTTGCAACACCTTGTTGATTCCAAATGTTTATGCATTCCAAATTATAACTTATTTGTCTTCCCCTGCAGTAATGAACTCATCTTTATTAAGGAAGACTATTTGATTGATCTTACCCTCATGTTTACTCATTTCCAAACTTGGGAATTTGCCAACAATTTAAGAATCCGTATAAAGTGAAGTAGATTTCAATGTTTCTACATTGGGAATTAAGGTTCCAATGAGCCAATGATATGCCTATTTCTTACTAATAGGAATTTATTAAGGAAAATTTAATATTTAAAATCCATGTGAGGATATAAAGTATATTTTAGGTTACTTTGATCTGATCAGTTCTGTATTCTAAAGATATGCTCCCAATCTCCATAAGCCTTATTGTTATGTCTAATCGATTTCCATATAAAAATAGGTGTCTTCTCTTTCGAATTTAATGAGTTTAGTTGAATCTTTAATGATTTCTCCATTCTCCTTAATTAAATAAATGCTGAAGTTCTCTTTAGAGATCTTGGCATCTACCAAGAGGTATTGTCTATCGATAGGTTTTAACTTATGTGGAAATTCAGTGTCCACCAAAAAGTTACTAATGTCAGGGAAGAGTTTGTCTTGCAAAGACCAAACGACCATCTTGCCTTACTTAGTAAATGTAAGCAATCTCTTTTCATAACAAACGCACTCTCCTTGATGCAACTGGACTGGCGACTAAAAGTACTTTTAATTAGTAATTTTGAGTTCATTGACAGTCTCTGGGGAGTACACAAAACTAATATGACTGCCTTGAGCAATGAGGACTCCATCTTCATTCTATAGAACACTATTGACTTGTTGATTAGAATGAAGACTGATGTTTGGGCCTCTCTCTAGCGAATCTATGCTCAAAGTGTGTAATACCCCATCCAGACCTCCAAAAATTAAGTAGCGTTGATCCAATGAAATAATCTAGAGTATTGGTGATCCCCCACTGAGATAGCCTTTGATTATGACTTGTTTGATGAGTGTTCCACTCAAAGGCTTATCCAATGACTTCTCAATCTTATAGATGAAAATGGACTTGCTATTATCACACAAGAAGGCAATTTGATCATTTGTGACGGAAACCAACTTGTTGATAGGATCAACAGTTTGTGTGGAGGATTCAACTTAGACGGTAGCATCAATGTACAATTGCAATTGTCTTAAATCTACTTTGACCAGCACCAAATCTCCATCTACAGTTCCCAAGGCCAATCCTTCAGCTCCGACTTTACACATGGAATTAGTCTTTTTGTTGATTGGCAGTGTGTATAAGAGGGTGAACAATTGGGTTTCGTCATCCTTCTTCAACCAGACTACTGAGCCAGCATTATCAGAGATCATAACGTTGTCGTCATCCCAAATGATTATAGTATTGACATGATCAGAGAACTTGCAATTAATTGTGACATCGATTAGGTAACTGTCCAAATTCCATATGCTGACACTGCCATTTTGATTGGCAGCAACAATCAGATTTGGTTGTTAGAATGCGCATTAGGCTACTTCTAAAGGATTTTTGTGTGATTTGGTAAGATTAGGATATGTTTTCAGTTGAGTGGTGTTGATGATTTGATTAACCACGTCAAATGCTTCATATGGTTCTTTTAATGACCCTAGAATCCAGAAGTAAGGATATAATGAGCCTTGTTCTTAAGGCAATTGGGGCAATTCATGTCGTTCAATTTGATTTGGAGTCAGGACATACATTTTTTCAATAGAATCCATCTTTAATTTAGGCAGACAGGCAACCAATTATAGAATGTCTCTTTTATTCTAGAGATTCAAGAAACTGATCAACTGAATTCCATCTTTGGGATTTTGATATTGTAGAATGTCTGAATCACTTTGAATGACTTGTTTATCTATAATAGATTGAATGTGTAAAATTACTTTCCAAAATTATATAGAAATTCAGGAATCCCTCATTTGGCTTGTTGACTATCAAGACAATCAATTGAGACTGCTGAGGCTTGTGTATAATGTAGTAGTGGTTTATGGAAGTAGCAGACAGAGGATGCTGCTCGTTGATTTCTTCTAATTCATCATAGTATTCGCAATGTTGAATGAATATTTTGCCTTTGGTAACTAATTCAATATGGCATATGGAAAATACTTTTGTTTTGCAATAAGGCTTTGCAAATACCATTCTCATTGGAACGATAGCTGTACAATTTATTATTAGTATCGTCTTGAACCTTGATGTAAACGTTGGGAACTGGGCATTTGCTCACCAAATCTATGAACTGAAATTAAATAAGATTAATTTGATTTTAATGAGTAGAGGGAGGTTACAAATATTTAGGTTTCTTTATCATCAAATCACTTGATGGCTTTATATTATGCTTTTTCTCCAATGCATCCTACACAGGATCATATCCATCTTCTTGACTCTTAGCCTTCTCTAATTCAAATTTGAATTCACACACTCCAGCCTTGGTAGATATTTGATCTTTGAAAACTAGATATCCCATTTTCTTAACATATATTTTGAAATCATCTGGTTCTACCACAATCTCGTACTTACCAGTTCCTGGAGGTGATTCCTTCAAAATGGCATCCTTCCCTCCTCTCATTGGGACTATCTCCACCTTACATTCTGTTACTGGCGCCATTTGACAAAGCACAGATACGACAATGCAAGAATGTGTTTGTTTCTGCAACTCAATTTCTTAATCAAGTGGCAAGTCGTCGGCATTCAATTAAAATAGGTTAATTTGCTATTGGCTAGAATTATGATTTTTACTTGAGTCTTGCTGAGAAAGTCGTTGGTTTCCTCTATGATCACCTCGTAGACATCTAAGGGCACATTTTTTAAGGAGATTCTGCCGTCCTAATTGGTTCTTTCTATCTTGTAGGTGGGATTCTCAGGTGGTTCTTTCAAGCTTCTTTAGGATTGTCCTGAAAGATTGGAATAGGCTGACTTGGGCCTTGTCTGTGCACTTTGGGGTCTCAACATTCTGTTGGACCTGGATGTCACTAGATTGAGTTATAAAAAGTTGAATTTACACATAATGCTTTGGGATCTGGTTTGGACAGGTCGATAGGGTTGTATTTTGACATCAATGTTTTTTAATTTCTGATCAGAACCAGCGAATTTCAAATCGATATTGAATGAAACCTTCTTAAAATATTAAGGCAACTTATTTATAATCACTGAAGTCTATGGCCATGCCTTAGTATTAAGTTTGGATCCAATCACAGCTTATTTTATTTGTCCTTTTTGTTTGGACATCACCTAGACTTCAAAACAACCTAGAAGGGGAGGGGAATCAAATAGAGAATATACCTAATCGACGCTACAAGAACATAGTGTCTATACTATGATCGAGATGGTCGTATATCAAGGGCTTGAGAATCACTTTAACAATTGGGAATCGCTAGATGATCTCATTCTTGAGGGCTTGGGCGTATGACAGATAACGAGCTTCGTCATGCTTCGTTGAATTCATGTGTTCATGACAATTCGTACTGCAATTAATTTAGTCTGTTACCAATATTCAATTGTAACAATCACATCCTCCTCAGAAATATCCTTGAACTCCCTAAATTCCCTAAAGCCTTGATGCTGCTCACTCTTATTGTGAATCTCTTCATTCTTCTCCCATAACTCTTAAAATGTTCGTAACTTCTTTATCTTCACATTCGTGTACGACAGTCCAGCATCCGAGTGCTCGTACTTGATCATCCGACTACGCTCAATAACATTCGTATAAGTACTCATAACGGAATATTCCCAAGGAAATCCACGGTTTCTCATGTATGTCCCTATCGAAATGATTGTCACACAGTCTACTCTCAAAATCATAATTACCTTGACATCACCATTAATGATTGATTCTACGTGTACTTCTTTGATCTCTTGGTTGGTTGTGAAAGTTGGGATAATCTGTCTGATTCATAGTATCTCTACATTAATTTATATATATATTAATAGATAATAATAAGTTTCAAAATGAATGGCGTTTATAATGAGGATTTTGCATCTCCTCCTAATCCTCCTGCTCCTCATCCTCCTCATCCTCGTAATCCATCCCTTAGACAGCTTCGAATCCTCCCATCTACTGTATCTGCTCCATCTATTCCTCAGTCAACCCATATTGTTTAGCTACACCATTAATGTGCACAAATACCTATAGCATCCTTCTGTAGTTTCTCCAACAACTTAGGGTCCAAATTATCAATGTCAATCTAATCATCGTACTCTCCGTCGATCTCCTAACCATCATACTCTCTCATAGATTGCTCAGCCTGTTCCCCAACCTAATCCACACCTTCTGGATCCTGCTAAGAAATCCTCTCCGACTCCTCCACATCCTACTCCCCAATTGGGTTCATGTAATCAAACTACTCCTATTGCTCTTGCTCTTCCTGAGGCTATTATTGACTCTTGGCTGCTTCCACCTCCATCAGCAAGGGTCTCTAATAAACTCTGACGAAGATCTCCTTCATCATATTATTGAAATCCTCCTCCTCTTGTCGCCTCTTCTGATACTGTTCAATGAACTTTTGTTGCTACCTCTCAAACTGAACCTAGTTGTGATCTTAAATGGCCCAAGATTGATGCACTCTCGGTCTAAACAGTTACTTTTTATCCTCCCTCTACTTCTATTCCTCCTCATTTTACTAATCAATAGCAAGCTGATTCTATTTCATAGTGAATATGTAATCGACGTAAGCATTGAACTTATCAGTAGATCTCGGCTGGATCTTAGGTTTAGCTGAGACTGCTTTCTTTGCTTTTTTCAAGGGATCCTCCTTCTATACTGATTTCTCATTCAAATAATCTCGCTGAGCCTTCTTTTTGCTTTCATGAAATGTGGGTCCAACAGGAACAGTTGTTTTCAATTTCTTCTTCTTTTTCTCCAATTACTTTTAGAATTCATCGTGCAATTTATTGAAATTGGGTATGGATTTGGCTCTGACCTTCCTAGGTGATTCGTGATGTGACCTTATCAATAACTCTTACTGTTTCTCTTGTTCCTTCAATTTCATCTTGTCTATCCACTCTTACATACGAGGTGGCAATTTGGAATTCTCCTGCAACCAAAACTTTCTAATCTTCTTTCGGTTTTCACTCTTGATCTTCTACTCTTGCATATTACGCTCATACAATTTCAATGAACAATACCAAGGAATAGGATTGGCCCTAAACTTATGTTGTTCCTCCTCTTCCTCTGGCAACTTGATTGGCTTTTCTCTTTTTCTGTCCTCAAAATTAAAGGGCTTCTGCATCTATTAAGTCTTCTCCTTGCACCTCTCCTTCAACTCTCTTCTTCTTATCTCCTCCCTCTCCAACAACTCATTGTAATAGTTCTTATCCTTCACCTTGTAAGGGATGGCCTTTGCCTTAAATGGCCTAAATTTATAGGCCTCCTCAATCTCCTCCTACTTCTACCTAACCTACTCCATCACCCACTTTTCCCTTATGCTTGGCTGCTTATTCACATCTCTTTTCTCCTACCCGGTTTTCTTGGGCACCGTAAACTGCATCTTTTCCACATTGATCTCCTAAAAGGGTTTCCTCGGGACTGATCGTTTCCTTACCTTCTTTTTCTCAGGTTCTGGAGGAGGAGGGATCTCCAATTTGGCAGTCATTCTATAGAAATAATCATCAGAGGACTCGGATGAAACGGATTCCTCCTACTATTCTGCTTCTGGTTCTTCCTCCTCATCATTGGGAAGGTTATCGAAGAAGTACATAAACTAATTCCATGATATTTGTTCGTCAGGATTATTGAGATATCCAATCTCTATTTATTGTAGTGCACTTTCCAAGAGTAAGTTCAATCCAAAGGCAACTACATGAACAGCATGCACAAACAACTCGCAATTTTACCGAATTGCCTTAATGGCTTCATCAACTGTTGCCAACCCATTCTCACTTACTGAGTCAAAGACCTCCTTCATTCTTGAGATGTCTTCCAACAGGAGGATTCGAGGAGTATTCTCAAATAGATTGACTTATTTATGAATGGGATCGAAGAGATGCACATAATCTCGAAACCCCTTCTCTGGCTTCACCTTCTGGTACTTCTGCAAAAACGAAATGAACTCGTCTTGCTTTAGATGGAATCTCTCCTTGACAGGGAATGAGTCTAATGCCAATTGGAGTGATTCTCTGTCAAACTAAAAGAGAGTCATTATGAGCGGGTTCTCATACATGAAGTTCTTCACCTGGATATGATGCACCTGTCCTTTGCGATGTGGGTCTATTTGAGTGTAGAAGAAATCAAGCATGTCAACATCATTCGAGTCCTTGGTGACCCACTTCTATAGAGCCTCTGTCTGTTGGTCCAATAACCTCAGAAGTTTGAACTCTTGTTCTCTCTGGAGTCGTTCTCTTTTGCAGAATGAAATTAATAATACCTTTTTCTACGCAAATACATTTTGAATTAGAAGATGTAATGTCTCCTCTACAAGACTTCCTCGTTGTATTTGCTTTGATAGGGTTTCTTTTCCTCAGGGATGTGGCAATCCAATGATTCCTCGCTCTCCTCTGTCTGCAACTTCGGTCTTTTTCCTTGGACCCTCCTGAGGATTTCGCATATCTTGTCTCTGGAACGTTGCTAATTTAGATCGACCTAGCGTATACTATTTTGGCATTGATGGTGTTGTCTTTGATGCTGCGTTGTAGATCATACTCGGTTTTCAATTCCCCCACTTTCTGCTACAATTAACCGACAAATAGTTAATCTGTCATTTTATTTTTATTTATGCAAAAACTCAACACCTACGAGGCAACTCCTTGGGTAGCCGGATACCAATGCTGCATCGTCATCTATACTTTCATAAGCTTTGGACTTATTTTGGTTTCGGTGTTCAATCAATCAATACTCATGGATTCTGTAAGTTAAAATGATGTATCGTCAAGGCACCATAATTTTACTCCGATTGGGATAACAAGTTTATAGATGACTTAAAGATCCAAACCTCCTGCGATGAAGGCTATGTGAATCTGTTAAATTTCACATGGCCTGGCACTGAACTAGGATGCGATTGTACATAATCAAATGGAACAGGAAATTACAAATATACAAAGTAAAAAAAAATAAAAATAAAGTTATTATTATATGGAGTGCAGCGAGTTTATGCTAGCCGAAAATTGCCAACCTGCAGAACCCATATATGAAAAGTAATTTTAGCATTGGCCTCTTATTGATCAAACTTCGGTTAAATGTGATTTATTTTGATTTATCTTAAGCGTTCAAACTGTGTGCCAAGGAGAGTACTACTACTGCTATTGATGGCTTTCAAATTGGCGAGGCTAGCGATGGATACAAAAAATGTGGCAATGTTTTCCAAGTTCCATCAAATGAATCATGTCCAATTAGTGATTTCACGATCTCAACTGTTTCAGATGGAGATGCTATCGGAACTACAGGGTTATATTTGAAAATTTAAAGAGTTCAATAAGACTAATTGCCATTAACAGGATTTACAGTAGGATTTAGTAATTAAAATATTCAACTTATACTAGATTCAATATGCTATTCAATATCAGACATCTATTAGTTTTAGTACTTGGACAAGATGATCAACTACCATTGCTATGATGACGATGAGAGATACGTGCGAGTGACTAACGACATGCCTTACGATGATTTGCTAATGGTGAACGAAGCCTAGGAAGAGTATAATCAATTATATAAAAATGGTGTTGCCGAAACCAGATGTATAGTATACATTAAGAGTAGATGTAAACCTGTTTTACAAGTACCTAACCTAATTTTATTACAACTCATCGGAATTGTGCTAGGCTGAGGATCTAGAATTTATTTACGACCTAAACAATTACATCAAGGACAACGTAATGGATGTTTAGTTGGCTGCTCAAGTGATTGTGGGAATACAAGCGGGAGTGTTTGGATTCTTAATTCCACTAGTATCAGCGATATCTTTGGTGGGATGTCACTTTAAATATGCAGGTTTGAACAGAAAAAGTTCGCTTTACAAGGACTTGTTTGGGTTTTGGTTGGGAGTCAAGATGATAGGTGAGATCCTGTGCACGATTATCTTGGCAGCTGATATGGGATACTAGCAATCAATGATGAACCACTTCTATGATTTCATTAATGCTGACTGTTCTGATAAGTTCTCTTTACAGGAGATGAGTGATTTCTACAACGAGTACGAAATCAAGGTTTACAACTATGTGCTATTAAACTTCATCTTGTGCATCATTACGAATGTCATTGACTTTTATGCCACTTATCTTATGTGCAGGGACAAACACAAGGAGGGCACCTTCCTGAAGACTAGTGACACTTCTCACCTGAAGAATTTCACTTCTACTCATCCTGATGAATTGCTCAACAGAACCAAGGTGCAACCGTAATCTGAAATCAAGCAACAACAATCGTATCAATAGAAGAGACCCTTTGATGATGTTGAAATACCAGGAGATGACATGCCTAAACCACATAAGCCTGAAAATTGAACATAATCATATAATTTTATTCAAGTATCATATTTTTCTAGACACATGTCACTTGTGATATTGCTTGGCAATTACTTACGCAACCTATTCAATCTGTCAGTCACTCTGTCTTAAATCGTATCACCCTACTATTACAAAGATTGTCGAATAAGACTATCTATAACGTCACATTCACATCTTACCATTTTTTTCTACTTCGTAATCCCAATTCTTAATTAAATCAACTGGAACTTTCTGCTCATTTTGAGATTGATAGATCTTCTCTGTCATTGTCAATTTCTTAGACCGAACCTCCCTCAACATTTTGTGAGATATTTTCTTGTTCTCTCTGTTATTCTCCAACACTTGTTGTTCCTCCTACTTAACAGGAGTCTCTTACTTTGCTTTTGAAGGTCTCTCAGGTCGTTTCAGAGGATCATATTTCACTTATCCTTCTTTAATGATTGGTTTGATTTACATTTGTTTCTCTCTTTTCTCTCTTGCTATAATCTCATCCTTCAACATTAATTCGAAGGCCTCCTTCTCAGCAATAGTATTGGAGATCTTTTCCATAAAATAATACTTAGCAGGGTTACCTACCGTATCAAAGAATTCTACACACATCGCATACATATTAAGTAACTCCAAAATCTATTACATAGATTCTATTTTAGTGCTAAACTGAATTAAACAATGCGCTTTACTTTTCTCTCCATCTCCAATAATTAGATGAAAAACTTCTTCCCAATCCCAAATTTATTATCATCCTCATCAGATGAATCGCAATGCATTCAATTTTTAAATAATAATAAATATTTATTTTAAAACCAACTCCATTCTCACTTATGCAATCACACAACTTCATTCTTAATTATGCAATCACACAACTCCATTCTCACTTAACACTCAATATATATAATATACAAAGTAGTAAATGTATATTCTCATTTCAAATAAACTTTGACCAAACCCAATATTCAAGGGAGCGTCTTGCAGAGTTCTATTAAAATGATTCTATTGATTGTGTTCACATTCCTTTAGGAATTCTAAGGAATTGAAGAAATTGTTAGTTCTCAAAGTTTTTTCTATTTGTATTGTATTATTAAGGGAATAAATTTGATTGAACCTTTTGTGACTAATATTAGTTGTATAAGTTGTTATTACTGGGCAATTGACGATGAAACACTCATCTCACCATTCTACTTAGCATTCATTCAGCACAAATCAAATATGAATAAGGATCTGATTGCAATGGAAATGATTTCAAAAAATGGAGTAGTTTGTTGAGTAGAAATACGATTGGCGTGAAGTATGATAATCGTGGAGGATCCCACATTGTAATTCATTGATGGGAGATTGTGGATTGGGACTTCGGAGGGAATATTGTATGATTTGTCTGGATTAGACGATGATTTGGGGGATAATGGTAGGCAGACTGAAAGGAGGGGGTAAGGAGGAGGTTTGTTTGGAGTTGGATCGGGAGAGAGGGGAGGAGGTGGAAATTTAGACGATTTGATGGGATTGCACATTGATTTAAGCGAATGTGTTATTGATTGTAATTATAATTAATAGGAAATTGGGTTGTTTTTATGGCTGAAGAACAATGAAATGCAATCAACGGAAATGATTAAGAAGAATGGGGATAATTAAATATATATAAATGGAATGAAAATAAAGATATTTATTTTTTTAATTTAAAATGTCTGTGGACAACAGCTTCGACAATTTTGAGTAGCTGATGTTTCCCTCCTATGGTGATATGGAAAACAGAGAGTAGATTGAGGAGCAATACGTTCTAGATCCTATTCCCCAAGAATAGGAAGACAAGCCAATCCCCTAAAATCCAGCTAATAATGGGAAAACTTACGAATAATTGTTTGAAATAGTTTAACGATTAAATGACATCAACTGGGTGGAACCATCATCAAAAATCACTCCTATCAAGTACTTGACTCCAATTACCTACTGGTTTATTATGTGTTCCCAATACTTCCAAAACGATGCTGATCCTAAAATCATCAAGTATTCAACAATCCTACCCCATTAGAATCAATCAGGAATGCCAACAAATTCAAGAGGAAACTGCTCGCCCATACACTTACTTTGACGATTGGTTCATCATGGAGATGAGAAACATAGTAAACTATAATCTAAGATAGATGGTTAAAAGAATTATCACCCAAAAGTGACTTGGAATTATTGTAGACTCAACTCGAACAACAATTACTTGACACCCAACTCCAAGTAAATACTCAAATAGATGCAATACAAATAGAAAAGCCCACTTTGAACATCTAAAACCCTCCAGAGTACATCCTCAAAGATCTTGTTGGCCTCACTGACATTGAAAACCAATATCTAACTTATCTTGAAAGCCAACAAAAGTAACCGATTTTATCCCTACTTACTAGATACTACGATGAGTAAATTATAAATTAGACCAAATCATCTAATCTGGCAGGAACAGCTAGAAAACTCTAAAATGTCTATAATAATTGTCAAATTTGTAATCAAGGGGTTAGATCTGAAGACCCTTTGATTTCTTGTCAGAAATGCTAAATTATTGTCCATCAAAAGTGTTATGGCCTTGAAAATGCAATTAGCAACTGGATTTGCGATGTTTGTTTGAACTTTGGCAATAAAGGGAGGTTTTTGAAGTGTCCTTTCTGTCCCAAATTGGGAGGAGCTATGAGACCGACTTCTATGGCAATGAAAGATTCTATATTTGAATTAATCAACCCTACTTTTCATACATATGCTATCAATTACAAGGTCGATAGACAAAGTAATAGATTATAGTATTTTAGAGCCTCCTCCTGATGGTGAAGAAAATTACAATTTTATGATACTTTAATATCAACTTGAAAGTGTGTCTGATGAACCACCGAAAGCTGAAAAGATTTGGACTCATGTTTCTTGCTCTCTATGGTTAGATTTTGATTTAGCGAAGGTGGATAAAAGGAAATTCAATAGTTTATGTAGTATATGTAAATAGAAGAAAAATGGAGCATGTGTGTCCTGTTCAAAATCTAAATGCACTATCTCATTTCATCCTGAATGTGCAAGAAGATCATAAATTTATATGGAATCAGATAACATTTATTGTTTCAAGCATCAACCACTAAAAATAAAGAGGATATTTGAAGATTAACACAATCAATGGAAGGAAGAGATCTATTCCTTCTTTAAGCAATATGAAAAATTAGAATAACAATTAGCCCATAGACCTAAAAACAACGATGTTGAATTTTAGAAATATGAACTCAAAGCACAGCAAGAAGAAATTGAGGCAGATATCAAGTAGGAAAATGAAATGCTGTTTCAAAGGATAGCTGAGATCCTAGAGAAGGATGAAAAATTCATAATCACATTCCAATAAAATCAAGTAGTCGATATTCAGTTACCCTACAAGAGACAATCTATCTATGATATTGAAGAAAATGATAGGATTTGGTAATAGTTGGCCAATGAAAAGTGCTCCTCTGAATAGGTCTACATCCTATATCAGAGAGCAATCAGAATGAGGAAGAAGAAGAAGCAAGGGAATGCAATCTCATAATTGCAAATGCCTTCAATCTAAGAACTGCCGAATAGAAATAGACACTCTGTTTATTCTAGACCCAAATTCTTTAAGCATCACAAAAAACAAAAATTACAAAATGGAACATCCAATAACATTTCTCTAAAAATCAAAATACCAAAGGAGGCCATCAACATCCAACAACAATATTGTATATGCAAACAACAAAATGATGAAGAGATGATGCGTAAATATACCTTTTGTTATTTTAGAGTGTGAAATCTGCTCAGAGTGGTACCATCTCAAATGCTTGGGATTTTTGAGTTCTCTTGAAGATGCACAGAATCTGTATTTCTATTGTTTTAGATGCGAATAGAAATTGAACAGAGAACAGACCAAATACATCAAAAGATATAAATAATATTTTGCAGATGCTACATTTCGAGATTTAAAATTGAAGATAGGAATGTCACCTCACGAGTTAAGAACCCATGAAAAAAAGAATTATAAATAGTTGTCTAAATGATCAATATTCATAAATCATCACATAAACATTATTAATAATCTTTTTTTGAAATTCTTATTTAAATTTATAAAGAATAAATCAGTTTAATATATTCATTAAATATTTCAATCTCTTGACTTGTGTCTAATAAATTCAAGTAATGATTTTGAATAGCATTGAAATGATAAGAACTCCTCATAATTTGACTACAATTATTATGAATCGATTACTTCTAAAGGGGTGTTTGATAAATGTACTACTCCAGGAGGAGTCTCATAATTAATCTTCAGTTCATAGAAGCCAACCACGTATTGAATGGCTGGCAGGATGTCTTGTAAGGCAAATCCAAAGGTGGTTTGTACAAATTGTCCGAAAATGACATTAAATTAATTGTCTCCTAGGTGATAGATGCACTTTTATACTGTTTAAAAGGAACATTGAAGTTTGTGACATTATCTCGAGCATCTCCTAATCATATACATTAAGTTGAAAGGAAATGATTAAGTACATAAATGAGGCTACTATAGTTCTTGGCATATATTACAAAGTCTAGATATCCATCAGTGTGCAATCTACCAATTGACATAGCTTTCTGAACACTTTTAATTAAAATTGAATTACATTAATACGATTCTTCATTTGGTTTCCTAAACTAGATATTTAAACCGTAATCTTCTGCGTAAATATCCCATTGATCTGTAAACCAATTTATCCAGTAAGTATAAGAAGGGGGATTCACATGCCATTTCAAAGTCTACAAAATTGATAAGTTTAAATACAAATAGAATTTTCAATTCCATATTAAGTATTTCATCCTTGCTATAACCATAATTAGCAGCCTTCTCGAATTATCTGACTCCAATAGGGATGACTTCTTCGACCTTGTTTGCTATCAATAAACTAGTCAAACCAATGAGTTATAAATTTTATTTATTGGCCTATTATTTAGATATAAATGAGTCCAAGTAGAAAATAGACAAATGAAAAGTTTGTCTTTTTAATCTGAATTCCATTGCCACTTCCATCATCCAATCGAGAAGAATAGCTCTCATAAGCTAATTGATTTCACTTTATTCAGTTAGGTAATATGGATCTGTTAGATATTCCCTCTCCTATTGAATTAAAGGGTCAGGTTCAGTTTTGATTCTGTCTTCAATATTGATATTGTTGATGACAATCTCATTCTCGTCGCAAGTCAAATCCAATTCTTTTGGATTCGAATTCGCCTATGTTGAACCAAAATATCTAGATTCCTTGCGATCTATTGAGGAAGATCTAGATTTCGAAAATGGACTTTTGGAAATCAATTACATATCTGCAGATACGCATCTTTGAGAACTTTTTCTAAAATGAGAGTCTTGATTTTTCAAATTGTCTTTCATTTCATTCAATAAGTTTTTGGATTCCTATGAACAACGATACATATCTTCTATGACTCCGTTGAATTCTAATTTATAATTATTTTAAATTTATGTTGTTTGAGCAATCGAAAGTATTTTCTGAGTCAATTTGTCATTTTAATCACCTTAATTCAAATACATACTATCTTTGATACGCGTTCTACTGTTCGTATTACTAAGAAGAACCGTATTTGGAAAACTGATTTATCTCACCTTTTTAGAAGGCTTATTGATATTATTAAATGAATTCTCCTTGTTCTGTTTATTTAGATTTCTAAACTGCAGCAATAATTGATGAAAGGTTATTGAGATATCTCTACTTTCTGTCTGTCTCGATGTAATTTACGGTTGAACAATTTAATTGGGCTTTGATTTTTCCTAGGGTTTGTAATGTCTTTCGGTGTGCCTATCTTTCGAGCTTTTAATCAATTGAGTAATCTATTTAATCATTTATGGTTCAATAGGTTTTGATTAGTATTTTGGAGATCTACTTTGAGTAAGACATTTTGGATGACTAACTTGCTTATGATATTATACGTACTTAATTCCATTGATCTAAAGCTGCTTCTTTTGCATATATTGTTATAATAATTCAAATTTAATTTATGAAATGCTATTAATAAATGAAACCAATTTTAGGTTTTAAACTTATTGCAATTTATCTCAAATATATATAAATAAATGAAAAATAGTATTAACTAATCAAAAGAGAGTGAGTAAGTATATAATCTAATATATCTTATATGTCTGGTTGATAATCAAGTATATAACTTTTGAATACAAATAATTTTCTGTATAATCTAGAATTTAATATATATAAAATGAAATTATTCATATTGCAGCATTATAATAAATACTTAAAAAAAAGAGAGAGTTAATTAGAAATGTACAATGTTAAATAAATAAAATTCTACTGTGATTGTATATAATATACATTATTACATATAAACATTCACAATGGTAAAAAGGTTTTTTTTAAGAATATCCCTTTGAGTTGATTCTTTAATAAATTGAAGGCAGCATGCATACCGGTTTTTCCTCCTGGAAATAGGGATACCGTCAAATATATTAAGGATGCGATCTTGATTTATTGAAAAGTTTACTTGAAGTGATAACAATCCTAGAGTGTAAAAGTATCCCATATAGAACATTCCTGTGTATAAGCAGGCGATTAGTGATACTAGATAAAGCAACGTGGCAGCAGATGAAGAAATTTTATTAAAAAGCGTTTTTAGTTCGATAATTTAAAGCATGGATAACAAAATAACAAAGGAGCCAGATGAAAAGAGCAAGCAAAATGGTTTAGGATTGAGTATCAGAAAGGAGGCAAATGGTATGGATATGATAATAAGGATTAGGCCAGCCATAAATAGAATTGCAAATACTCCCCAATTCTTTTATGTTTCAGTTTTTCTATGCTCAATCATAAATAATACTTCGGTTGTAAGCTGGATACAAGTGATCCTAACAAAGTGTCCTCCTCTCCAAAAAACTGCATGATTAATTATCCTAATCTAATTTAATTTTAAATAAAAGATGAGTGAAAAATAAAGTGTAAGACAATACATCTAAGGGAAATTAGATCTTCTTGAATTCATGATTGCTGAAAAATAAGCAAATGTAAAGAGACAAGAAGCTTAGAGAAATGAGTTAAATAGCTTGGGTAATTTTGAATTTGTTATTAGAGTGAGGTAAGTAAAAGAGGAATTGTAAGCCATGTAGGAGCCTCATTCTTATGTTGGTGATGTGGTTAAATAGATGGGGAAAGATAAAGTATTAGTTAAAGTGAATCCAGAAGGAAAATATGTTGTTACATTAGACAAGTCCATTAAGATTGAAGAGTGCAAACCTAATACCAGAGTTGCCTTAAAGAGTGATTCATATGTTTTGCATAAGATTCTACCGACAAAGGTGGATCCTTTAGTTTCATTGATGAAAGTGGAAAAGGTGCCAGATTCAACCTATGACATGATTGGTGGTTTGGACTAATAAGTGAAGGAAGTTAAGGAAGTCATTGAGTTGCCTATCAAACATCCAGAAATATTTGAAAGTTTAGGAATTGCTTAACCCAAAGGTGTATTATTGTATGGACCACCAGGGACTGGAAAGACCTTGTTGGCTAGAGCCATAGCACATCATACTGTATTGAATTATATTAATGCTTAGGATTGCACATTTATTAGGGTAAGTGGGTCGGAATTGGTACAAAAATATATAGGAGAAGGAGCTAGAATGGTCAGAGAATTGTTTGTTATGGCTCGTCAGCATTCACCATGCTTAATCTTTATTGATGAAGTAGATTCAATTGGAGGGGCTAGAATGGAAGGAGAGAGAGGCGGAGATTCAGAAGTATAAAGAACTATGTTGGAATTATTGAATTAGGTAAACTTACATAAGCATGTAGCTTGATGGCTTTGAATCAACTCAGACAATCAAAATTATTATGGCCACCAATAGAATTGATATATTGGACTCAGCTCTGTTGAGACCTGGAAGAATTGATAGGAAGGTTGAATTTCCAAATCCAGGGGTTGATGCCAGATTGGAGATCTTAAAAATTCATTCAAAAAAGATGAATCTCATGAGGGGAATCGATTTAAGAAAGATTGCAGAAGTGATGCCAGGTGCTTCTGGTGCTGAATCTAAGGCAGTTTGCACAGAAGCTGGGATGTTTGCACTAAGAGAACGAAGGATCCATGTCACATAAGAGGATTTCGAGATGTCAGTGGCTAAGGTTATGAAAAAGGATATTGAGAAGAATATGGCTATCAATAAAATGCTTAAGTGACTTATGCTTACAAATTATAATTATATATTTTTAATGATTCAACCTAAAGTCCTGACATAGTTATTGACTCAATGCCAGAATGAATTCAAGGTCTAATCCATTTTTGTTGCAGCCACAATTGATGGATAAATGATAGCCTAAGTCGGTTAAACCCAACATCAATTACCTCAATTTTCTACATTGAGCATATTTTTCGATGATTGTAAAGAAATTGGCAGCATTTAATTATGTACTCTTTATATGTATATTCGATAGCATAAAACATTAAGTTGAATTATGTATTTGTAGAAATAGAAGATCAAAGCATTGTATTGTCCAATTTTAAGAATTTATTTACATTAGGAATAGCATCATCCCAAAATGTTGGCTTGCTAGTTTTGTATATGAATAAATTGCATTAACAATTAGAAAAGATTATTAAATGATTGTCTTTTATATGTTATTATCAAGAAATTTGATGATTATTCATTTTATATTTTCAAATAGTTTTTATTCATCTCAGCTTAATTTTATTAATAATAATTATTATCTTAATTATCATCCCTATGTTTATAGTTATCATCTAATTCATTCAGATAGTGTATATATATGTTTACAGGTTCTTCCTATAACGAATTTGAATTATTCAAAAATTATGAATCATTTTTTATCCTTCTAATAAACTATTGAATGGTTTTATTAACTTATCATCTAATAAATGATAATGTTCCTCTTTAATTCATAGAAATATTCCTTAAAACACCTTAACTCGTAAAATCAGATCTTGTATAACTTATTAATATTAAGTAAGTTCATTGGATTTTAAGAAATGATAATGTAGAGAGGATTTCTATTCGATCAAGTGATTTACTTTGAGTTTGTTGAATTGCAATAAAATATTTATTTAAAAAATTATAAAAAGTTTATAATGAAAGAAACCTCGCATCTTTTCTCGAAATATTAATTAGAATACATACAAAAAATAGGTGAAGGAGCTTTTGGGAAGGTATATAAAGCATTCGACTAAACCACCAAAAAAGTAGTTGCTGTTAAAGTAATCTCTGCCATTTAATAAAGGTTTTAAACACTGATGAAGAATAGGAATTGCTCTCATCATTGAATCATAATCACATCGTCAAACACATTAGAGGGTATTTATTTAAGTTCTGATGGTATAGATCAACTCAGTTATTAGTGATGGAATACATGGAAGGTGGCTCATTAAAGAATTATATGGTTGAAAATCCAAATTTGAATGAAGAACAATGTATATAGATTATGAAATCGATACTCTCAGGGTTAACTTATTTGCATCAGCACAATGTCATTCATAGAGACATCAAACCTGGTTATTCATTTAGTATATATCTCGTTTAGATAATATCTTACTAACCAAAGACCTTGTACCAAAAATAGCCGATTTTGGTCTCAGCATCTAATTTGAGAATTTTGATTACTCTACTTGTAAATGTGGGACCTTGCTCTACATGGCTCCGGAAATCCTGTAAAGCAAACTCTATTCTAAGGTATCATTTATACCTAATTAAATCAGCCAGTTGATGTTTGGGCGACTGGAATCATTATGTATTAACTACTGCAAGGGGTTCATCCCTTCTACAAACAGGATTCAACAAAGCAACAATACCTCCAAACCATCCTAGAGAAACCTTTACATTTTAAAAAGCCAATCTCCCCATAGGCTAAGGATTTACTGATTCGTCTATTGAAAATCGATATTTCTGATCGTTATACTGCCGGTCAAGCCTTACAACATCCTTGGCTGACTAAGTAAGACAGTTTGCCATTAAGTCTTTTTGAATAATTTAAATTGTTTGATTGCAAAAACAAATTCATCAATGTAATTATATCAACAAGATTATTTAGATCATAAAATTATTAATCTTTATTCAACAATTAAAGATACCCAAGTTCTCATATGGATACATTTTAGGTCAATAAGGGTTTCATATTAAATAAGTTCAATACATTGTTGGTTAAATTGGGTCAATACAGTCTCCACTCAAAATCGAATCTCCTACCATATCAAGTTCCACTACTTTAAAAAAGGTAGGCAAAATCGACTATTCTGAAGACAACACGCCAATTAGTCTTCAAAATGCTACATTCTATTAAAAAAATAAAAAATTGCAAGTAATTACTATCCCTATTATTTAGAAATTATCCAATTTTTATGAATAAGCCTACAAATCTAATGAAAACTCTCTTGCTTAATTAAGTCCTCAGAAACCCAAAAGAAGTACAATGAACTTTTCCCAAGCCTCTCGGGAGTATGCAGAAATAATGCTAGGATACTCTGCGATAAAGGAAAAAAGAAAACCCTCTCAAATAAAGTTGGAACCCTTGGATAGAAGAGCGAAAAGAACATCTTCTGTTGTGGTAATTTCCTATAAACAATGAATTTTCTAATTCATATTAGTTAATCACATAAGAATAATTTCATTCTCTATTTATTTAACTATAAAATCAAATCACATTTTTCTCTTTCCGCATCCTGATCTTTAACCAGATCTCTAACCGGATCGGCATCCAGATCTACTCTACCTAGTTTTGTATTATTTTTTATTTGTTTTATGTTCCCCTTCCTCATTGACCTAATCTTACTTTTCTCCATCCTCATCTTCATCCTCCTTTTCTGACATTTTTTATTTCCCTTGCTTAGAATTCCAGCTTTTGTTTTTATGATGATCTTCTTTTTCTTTTTCTTCATCTTCACCTTCTTCCTTATCTTCATGATTGTCATGCTTCATATCATTTGTTTTGTTTTTATGATGCTACTTCTCTTCGTGAATCTTCATTTTTTAAACACTCTTCTAAACTTGTTCCATGTCATCATCATCATTATCCTTCCATTTACTTTGATGACTCTTATGTGATTTTTTTGATTTTTCTTTCTCCATCTCTTTTTCTTTCTTCTCCTTTATTACTTGTTCTCTAATCTCTTCTTCTTTATCCTAAAATTCTTTCTTCTCATCTGAAGATAACTTATTCCATTGTTGAATTATTTTCTCTTATTATTCAAGACTCTTTTTTTTGTGTGCTGATTGGAACAGTTATTCATTTAAATATGCATTAAAACCACTGCATTTCTGTTCGTCACTCATTACATTTATTTAATATTTTAAGAGTTCAGAGGGTTCCATAGAAAAGGGTGTTTATAATAGTATTTTGAATTTAATAATTACAAATCTGTTAAATTGCAAAACTTAAAAATAGAAAAATTTTAATCAGAAATAATAAAGTAATCATTATTTGAACTAAAATGATCTTCTACATTGCATCAATTTCTCTAAAGTAGACTCCTTATAATCCGAATCCAAATCTGTAGTTAACGAATTTTCTGATCGATCAGTGCTCTTCTTATACCCTTTCTGCCAATTCTAAACATTCTCTTTATTTCTCTATGTGTCCAATTCTTTCAATCTTTACTCGTATTCAATCAAGTACTACTATTTCTTTTTCAAGTCCTCTTCTCTCTGTTAAAGTAACAGCGAATTCTCCTTTAATCTTTTCTCTCTTAAACGAATTGAAATTCTTGGCAAGTTTAACAAATCGTCAACACTTGGTCTCTAATCCTGATTCACACTCAAACACCAACTGATTACACGCTTCATTTCAGACGTATATTGTTATGGAATATTATCATATTGGGCTTACTTGATTTTCATTGCCAACGATAAATAGTTTTATGCTTGGAAGGGTGGTTAAAGAGAACACATTTCGTATAGCAAACAACCACAGGCCCAAATATCAGACTTTTCATTGTATTTATGTTCTTCTATCAATTCAGGACTCATGTAATAGGGAGTACCAACTTGAGTATGAGCAAACTCACTGTTTATGTTTAGCATTCTTGCCAATCCAAAGTCTCCAAGTTTCACAGTTTTATCTAAAAATATATTTGCTGGCTTGATGTCTCTATGTAATATTTTGTTTTGCCGTTTATGTATTTCACATAAGGCCTAGACTATCTGAGAGAATATCTTCCAAACCGATTCTTCTGGTAAGTATTCCTTATCCTTTTTAAGCTTTTTCAGAAATTAAGCCAAATCTCCACCCTCGCAATATTCCATTATTATATATAACTTTTATGTCTATTTATCGACGATGCGATCATAATATTTGATGATGTTGGGATGTTTGAGCTCTCTCAAAATATTAACTTCATTTACCTATTTTGAAATTTAAATTTAAAATACTAATTGTTATTTTTCTTTCTCACTCATCCTGCCATATTCCATCTCTTTGGCGACAAATACCTTTTGATCAGCCTTCCTAAGAACTTTGTAAACTTTTGCAAATGATCCTTTTCCTATGTTGTCCAAAAATTAAAATGCTTCCATTTGATAATATATTTTATATGAAAGATTAATAAAAGAAATTAAAGTGAATGAAATAATAATAATAGATAGATAGATAATTCACTCTTTAACGTATTAACTTCTGCTTTGACTATTTTAGTTTAAGTACGCCAAATGGTAATCATATTAATGCTCTATTGCTATACATTTCTTATTATTGATAATGAGAGTAATTTTACACAAATAGAATTTGCAGCGAACACAGTACTTAATTCAAGTAATCTAATTTTCTGCATTATAAAATAAGAGTAAATATGTAGCTATCTTGTTTTTCCTTATGAATCCATTCCTCAAAGGCTGTGCTATTTCAAAATTACATCTACAATCTTTGGCATTTAAATATTAAAAGATATCTAACTATTAATATATAATTTTTAATGATATATGCATATCCTAAACTTTTTGATTTTCCTTAAACAATTTTCATTCCAACTAACCTACCTAGATTGCGATCCCTTTTCATGAGTTTAAATTTCAAATTGGAGAATTGCAACTGATGATTCACCAAAACAACCTAACAAAATTTTATTTGACTCTATCTGTATAAATCAATTTCAAACTTTGGATGCAAAAGGTTGTTGGCTTTCTTGAATCTGCCATCTTCCTATTTCCGTTCCTCCTTATATTTGAATAATCGATGTATTTTATTCCTGGTCACACCTACATTTTGTCTGATTATTATATTTTAATTATTGAATAAATGTTTCAAACCCTACAAAAATTAAGGGTGATATGCTTTATGTTCGCCACAACTGCTGAACGAAAAGTTCCACCTACTCCCTCCAATATGCCTTTCACCCTCAATAACCTCTGGGATAATCCAGGGGCCAGGAAAATACAAAAGAGATGGGGAAGAAGTGGTACTAGAGGAAATGCTTGTGGAAGAGGATAAAGAGGACAAGGAGCCCGTTCAGGAGCAGGAGTCCCTCCCAAATTTGAAGGTGGTTAAACGCCCTTAACAAGAAGACTTCCCAAATGGGGAGCCAAACCCAGGTATTTCTGATAGTTGAGCAATTATAGTTTGGAACTCTATCGAGAAGTCAATATATGTCAAATCATCGATAGGATCAAGTAAGGAAGAATCGATGCTACTTAGCCAATCTAAATTAAGGACATGTTAGAATCAAGAATTTTTAGTAAATGCAAACATGGAGTCAAACTATTGGCAAGAGGAGCTGAAAGATTGAGTGAATTGAATACTCCATTAACTATTGAAGTATCAGATGCTTCAAAAACTGCTATCGATGCAATAAAGAAGGCTGGGGGTGAAGTCAAAGTTGTTTACTTTACACCACTGTTATTGAGATAACATTTGTTCCCTGATAAATATCCATTAGAATTAAGACCAGCTCTCCCTCCTTCAAGAGCAGTGGAAGCTATCTAAAGAAGTGAGGAGCGAGGTGCTGTGGCTGATTACATCAAACCGAAGTGGGTTATTGAGGAGGAAATTGAGAAGAAGAAATTGGAGGAGATGGCCAAACTTGAAGTAGATACTCTGAAAGTTCAATTGCAAGGGGCTGAGACTGTTGAGACTGCAAAGAAAGAGAAGAAGAAGAAGGTTTTAAATTATAATCCATATCATAGAAATAAAAGCAATAGGAGGAAAAATAAGTTAGCACTCTGGATTTAACAAACTTCAAATACCCAGTCAGTAGGGAGCCTGGATGTGGCAAAGACAAAATCAAATAGCGCAAACCAGTAGTGTATAAAAAGTTATCATTAAACTTGGATTGAGTTATTCGTATAATTTCATAGTAAATAAAATGCATATTATTATTAACAAGTGTGTGCATGCTTTATAGGTTGAAGTGTGTTTTGTAGTACATGAAGAGTCTCCTGATGTTTCTTATCAGTGAAATATTTATCTTCCTATCTATTTCGAAAAAAGTTAATGTTCCTCATAATTTGATCTCCAACTATGAAATACATTCCCGTTATCTTGTTTGTCGACCGACTCTTAATATATTCAATAACACAATCTCTCAGACTAGTTCTTAAGAATATACATACTTTTCAGCTCTGTCTTCGGGAGACTCGATAGAAATTTGTTCCTTTTGAAATTGATGTTTCAACTTCTTCTTTATGTCACCTACTTTTTGAAGGTAGTTTAATTTAGATTAAATTTACAGACAATTTTCGGAACATTCTTGTAGTATCTATTTTAGATTCAATTATATCAAATCCTATTGCTCATACTTCAATAGATGACATAGGGCATAATATAATTTTTGGAGATTTGGCTTGTCCTTTTAGAGAAATAGATGAATCATCTTACAATTTCCAGAATACAATATTTTATTTTTTAATTCTTCAATACCTAAAATGTTATTATCGTTAAAAATTTCATCTATCATAATAATTTGCTGTGGTTATTTGTATGTTTGTATTAAGTGATTCACATTTATCCAAATCTAATTCATATTTCTTTAAAAACTCAAAGCTTCCTTGGGAGATATGTGAGGTGGTTAAATTATGCAATCATATTATTCATCTATTTAAGATAAATTGTTAGTTAATAACACTAGAATGCATTCAGATTTAATTTTTTGAATTAACTATTTATTTAGAGATAGAGATTAGCCAATAATGGCGATCTTTTAAAGATGAGACGTTTCTCTGTGACCTCTGTACAGTATTTTCGGTTCAGGCATATGCAATTAGTAGATGTCAATCATTTCATATTTAATGTCTGCAAACTTTGGTTTCCTTATTAATATGTTATGCTTACATGATCAAGCTGGGTTAAGTTTATAAACCAATTAATCTTCTTGAAGACTTTTTCTTATTTTGCATTTTGTTGACTGAGAGCTGCTTCTCCTACAAGGGTTCACCATGTAAGTGCGTATCATGAACTGAGATCGTTCTACTGGTTAATTGTTATGATTGTTAATTTTAATTGGTTGGCAATCTTCTAACAAATTAAGAGTGTTTCGATGAGCGAGTTGCTATTTTACATATTTCAACATAATACATATGGAAAGCTAACGAATTGGAGTATTCTTGGCAATAAGCAAGGTGCTGAAATCATTTTCTGAGGGAGGTTTCATATTGATTCTCTTGGTCAATCTCGTTATATTTAATCTCATCATTTATTGATTATTAAATTACGGAACGAAAATAATATTATTTTAATATAATTTTGTATGAATGAACTTGTACATCCACAAAACTATCACAAATGATTGCATTACCAAACACATCGCAATATTAACACAAGACTATACAAACATACATTAAATATTTAATCATATAACTCCAAATTTCTTCATCACTTTCTTAAGATTATCCATATTCAATGGTTTATCCAAGTGGTCATCTGCTCCACACTTTTGCGATTTAAGTTTATCATCAGATCCCGAAAAGGCTGTTACTATTACTATAATCGATTACGATAGTTGTTGTATTTGTTCAAACTTTCTTATCTCCGAAGTACATTGATACCCATCCATCTCGGGCATATTGACATCCATAAAGATGATATTCATTTACTCTTTGGAATATAATTCGTAGGCTTATTTACCATTGAAGGCCTTAAACAATTTACAATTGTCCATAACCTAATTGAGCATCGCACTCAAAGCAATGATATTAAATGGGGTGTCATCGACTATCAGTATTTTATAGGAATCCTCTGGAGTGGTTTCCAACTTATAATACGTTTGGGCCTTTTTTAATTGCCCCCTTTTCTTTTTTATCGAATTGAGATTCTTATAAGAAGGAAACCGAGGAACCATTTACTTTTGATGTAAATCCTATTCTTGCAAGGAATTCTCAAGCGATTGCTACAAAACTCTATAAATCCTAAATTTAAAAGTAGACCCCTTGCCTACCTGAGATTTGAGCTCTATTTTATCCGATGGACCCAACAGCGAAACCAGTTGCTAACTAATTGTCAATCCTAAACCAACTCCGTGTCTGTTATTTTTACCAATGTCATAAGTACTGTATAATCTAAATAGATTCCTCTAGATTTCCTCTGGAATTCCATAGCCAGTGTCCGAAACTGATAACTCTATTAAATCACTCTCTAGATGATGACTAGCCACAATTTAGATTTGACCCTACATTGTGAATTTGATAGCATTGCCTACCAAATTGATTAGCACCTACTTGAGCCTTGTCTCATCGGTTAATAAGATACTGGTTTTTTGGTCGATTGTATTCTGCCAGATTAACTTGACTCCTTTTTCTAGTGATTGTCTATTCAACAATAAGTTTATAAATTTAAATGTATCATTAATATCGAAGGTTTTAGGTATTAATCTCAATTAACCCTTATTGATTTGACTATAATCCAATAGGTCATTGATCATTGACAATAATAATTAGCCAGATTATTGAAATTCATCCAAATGCACACACAACTATTCAATGTTACTTTGAGTAATGCTTGATTTTTATTACAAAATGTGATTCATGATATCAATATCAATCATCATTCCATTTAAGGGAGTCTTTAGATCGTGAGACACTGTAGCCAATAATCGATCCTTGTATTGATCCATTTCTTTTAGATGTTTCAGTCTGATCCTCTCGGAGATATCGTTCATAATAACTAAAATTGAATGTTTGTTCTCCCATATGCAATGTAAAATACGAATTTCAAAATGAGATTTGATTTTTAATTGTGACTTGGAAGTTAGAGCCACTTTACATTACGAATCTAATTTGAAGCATAAAAAGTAATCACTCACATCCGATATATCATATTCGTTTTTTATCACAGATGATCTATTGCTCTAGGTCTATTGAAATTACTCTTCCACCTAATTTAACTTCTATTGAAGAACATCATAAATACTGACACAACTATTGTATGACTCTTGTTCTGACTCCTATTCAGTTTGTATAAAGATGCACTTTAATTTTCGAATTATTTCGTTTTCATCAGAAACCTAAAGGTATTTAATTGCAAAATCGTTTGTGTAAATCAATTTCATTTCTTTACCTGAAATTGTAGAATCTTAGAAATCGTCATTTTATCCTGTCAAAATCAGAATTGAATTCGGCACTGTTTTATCGAATATATTTTTGCATGCCTTCAAATTTGAGGTCTGCTAGCATATCGTATAAAAGTCCAGTCTTTTGTAGTATTCTATGGAGCGGAAGAAAATGATTAGCATTATCAATAATACATAAAAGGTCCAATATATTTAGTCAATCATTCCGACTAAACCAACTATTAAGATTGTAGCTGCTGCTAAGATTAAGCCTTAGCAAAACCATAAAGGACAGACCAACAAATAGCTAATTATTATAATTCCAGTTTATATTCCGCCATTTAAAGCTTAGGCTGTAATTTATTAATTACATTGTTTGTTTAATAATTCAGTCTAGATAAAAACATTTGTAATTAATATTGTCGAAAAGGCACTCACTATCTCTGATATAGATATAAAGTATTTGTATTAAATCTTTTGTATGTTCGCCTATGAGATTAAGCAAAGTACATGCCAGAAACTGAATCCAATTCTTAAATATGCCACAGTGTAATTTTTCAATACAAACTGATTATTTAAAAAGTAGACAAAATTGATAAAGAAATGTATCAAGTATGACAGCCTAAAAAGAACAATTATTCTTTTTTTCTCTTTGCTTGT